GACCTCCGCTCCAATTTACCGCCACTCAAAAATTTCTTCCTTCTCCTCTTCGCGTCTCAGCTTTTGTTAGAGCAAGCCTCTTTCACTTGCTTTCAGGGCAACGCTGTTGCATCATATCCTTCTCCGATTTTTATATAACAAAGAGTATTTAACAAGCACACTCCTTCAACTTCTGTTGTAGTAATCTCTTCGAGAAATTTTGATTCATTTACACAACATTTTCATCAAGTGGTGTTTATATATTGAACATCATCAAAAGAGTTATTATTTATTCATCACCACTGTATTCCGATTTAAATACTTTGCTTTGTCTGCCTAGTTTTTATTTCTGCATTGTTTTGTATCCAAATATCAACAGCTGTAATTTATAACTATTACACTCGATTCGTCTTATAATTCACTAATAATAACACAATGATTAGTGGAGACAATTCTTCTAACAAACAAGCGTCAAGTGGTGAATCAAATGAAGCGGAACCCCATGCGATGATGGAGGACAACGTAGAAAGTTTAAGTGATGATTCCTATCAACATCCTATGCAAAGAAGATTTGTGAATAATCCAATGATGAGAGATCAGGATGATCAAATACTGGAGGAAGATGACAATTGTTATGGAGGAGGAAACGATATTCACCCTTTCAACATGGGGAACATTCCTAATAACACCTCTTTCAACATGGGAAACAATAACAAATCTGGTGCTTTGCCAAATAGTAGTAGCGGAACTGGATCATCTTCTCTTTCTCAAGGAGTACCACAAAGTGCTAAAAACGCTGCCAAGAAACGTCGTAGATTCACTCCCGAAGAAGACAAAAAGATCAAGGAAGGAATTGCCAAAAACAAGAAAGACAATAACATTGATTGGGATGGTGTTGCAAAGTATGCAGGAATTGAAAGAACAAAAGAACAGATTAAAAGTAGATATCTCAGAATGAAGAAGGAGGAACCAGAGCAAGCTAGCACAGCCCAACAAGCAAACAGTAGCGGTTCATCTTCAAGCACGCCACAAATTCAACAACCTCCAACGTCACAACACCAAACCATCACTTCACAAACTACCAATCAATCGAACACCCATGTAGCTGCAACGCCCACCAATGTTTCCTCAGCTCAACCTTCCCCCATAGTTTACATGGCTCCACCATCACAAAATGACAATAACCAACCACCACAGCATTCTTCTACCAAACCTCATGATCATTCCCTTAGTGTTGAAAGTGAAGAACTTAATCCTTCAGAAATGATACCCTCCACCAAAAAACAAAAGACTCTTCCTCAGATGTTTCAACAATTACAGACGGGTAACACTGCCTCCAAAAAACCTTCCACATCATCTTCCATTCCTCCAACCTCTTCCAATCAGAACAGCAACAGCCTTTTTGGTGACATAAGCAACAGCAATAGTAGCTTTGCTCAATTATTTAACACAAATTCGATATCTAGTGCTTGTTCAAACACCACTCCTCCTTTAAATGACCCTAATCAACTTGTCCAACAACACTTTTCCAAACTTCAAAATGAAATTGAAATTCTTAAGGATCAATTGAGGCAAAAGGAAAAATATATAGAGCAAATTGAACCTAAAATTAAGAATTATGATAATGAAATTGGCCAATTGAAGAATTTACTTCAAGACTATGACATAAAAACCGCTGAAAGAACTAAAAGGTTTCGTGAGATTGCAGTTCAATTTTTGAGAGAAAGGGCTGAAAGAGAAAGAATTGAGGATAAAAAGCGAGTCAATGAAAAAACTATTACCATTGGTACCATTACCTATCAAAAGGGAATGGAAGTTTATGAAGTCTGGCAAGACGGAACACTATTCCAACAGTACAAAGAAACAGAAAATAGAATATCAATGGAAAGAGACAAGCTTGAAAAGCAAAAGAAGACAATCCAAAAGCAAAGGCAACAACTCAAAAAGGAACAGATAAGTCATTCTTCTATCAATGATCCAGATTTTGCAAGAAGATTGGAGGAACAAATGAATGACTTGAACGAACAAGAAGAAACCATAAAACTTCGACTGAATCATTTGAAGAAAGAGGAAACTCAAAATTCAGCAGAGCAAGAAAAGCTGTTTATTGAGAAGAGCATTCAGATTAGAGAGATTAAGAGAATTAGGGATCAAGAAAAGTCCATGTTCAAGAATTATCCTATTATAGGACACCAAAAGTATATTCCAACAACTCCTGAAGGTCCAGGAACTCCTCAAATCAATGGACAACAGCCTCAGCCAAGTAATCATCATGAGTATTTCTTGATGAAAATGCTTGGTAAAGGAGGTTTCTCCGAAGTCTACAAAGCCTACGATTTAACAGATTTCAAGGTGGTAGCATGTAAAATACACCAACTCAATCCCAACTGGAAGGAACACAGAAAAGAAAATTATATCAAACATGTACTTCGAGAATGCCAGATCAACCAGAGTATTAATCATGACAAGCTGATCAAAATGTATGACACATTTGTTTTTGATAACAATACCTTTGTGACGGTTTTGGAGTATTGTGAGGGTGCTGATTTAGACTTGTACATTAAAAAGCACCAGAGGGTACCTGAAAGAGAGGCAAAGAACATTATTTCTCAAATATTTAGTGGGCTCAATTACCTAAGCCAGCAAAAACAAAAAGTGATTCACTACGATCTAAAACCTGCCAATATTTTATTCGACAAAGATGGAAACATTAAGATCACTGACTTTGGACTTTCTAAAATTATGGATGATGAGGAAAGTATAGAACTTACGTCGCAAGGTGCAGGAACCTATTGGTACTTACCTCCTGAATGTTTTCATAATCCATCTGGTGAGGGACCACCACCAAAGATATCCAACAAAGTTGATGTCTGGTCTGCAGGAGTTATCTTTTATCAGATGCTCTATGGAACGAAACCTTTCGGTAACAATCTATCCCAACAGAAGATTCTTAGCGAAGGAACCATTGTCAATGCAACACAAGTTGGTTTTCCAGACAAGCCAAGCGTATCAGAAGAGGCAAAAGATTTTATAAGGCGCTGTCTCACCCATGACATGGCAAAACGGCCTGACGTTAAAACTCTTTACAATGATCCATATCTACGAGGTACTACATCCTCGTCGACAGGTTCATCATCCTCTAAAAGCAAGAAGAAAGACAAAGAACAATCTTCCAGCAGCACTCCCACAAATACTACCCCCACAAACTTCCTTTCCTATCACCAATAGCCACGCCCGTGGTATTCCTAAGAAAATGGCGTAATCTTTGATTACATTAAATGTGAGAAATTTATATTCATTCGCACTGTTCGTTCAGCTTTTTTTGTTCTAAGGCTGCTCAATAACATCTATCTTCTCGACATCCTACTCACGCGTTGCATCTCTACATCCTCAATTTTATCTGCTTTCTTTTCAGTTTATCAAATTTCCAAGCGTGCTAAGAGCCTTTTTAGACGTGCCAACTCTTGCGCTGACTGGTCTTCGAGGCCCAGCTGACAATGGTCTCGATCCGGGAGGCAATGGGGCAACTCCTTTCTTCTTTGATCCGTATGTTGCTGAAAAAGGCCTGTTAGAAGTATACTCTGAGGTGGGTAGCAATGAGTTTACGGGCGATGCTTGTAGGTCTGTTGTTGATGATTCTGTAAATGACCTATCACCATCCATTGAGGTGTTGTTTTTTGAAAGTAGCTTCTCATAGGCAATCTTGATCGTGTAAGGTTTTGAATGTTTTTTCGACTTCAACTTACCGTTTGAGATTTGGATAGTACTTGCAGATTTTCATAGTCACGAAGTTTTTCTTCGAGATATAAATTTCGTTGCTGCAAAGCTGCTTGGCTGGAGGGGTGGGAAAGATCGTCGTTTGGAATTATTGTTGGAAGTTGACGCCTTAATTGAGTCAGCTCTCCAATAAGCTGAGTTTTTTCTTGAAGGAAATTCTTTTCAGCTTGTGACTCTCTATTCTGATGGAGAATCATTCTCTTCAGCCTCTTGTTCAACTCTTCAACTTCTCGCTCTTTTTCTTTCAGTTTTTTCTTGTAATATGAAGCTAATTGAGGATTTCTTTCGGCATTATCATGGAAGTGCTTTTCGATTTGTTCTCTCATATTTGCTTCTTCTTGAATTTTTCGTTTCTTCTTTTCTTCAATATTTGCGTTGAAAATGGCCAAATATTGCTGCTTCATTTCAACTTGGGATCTCCTTAGGTTGGATACTTGAATTTTTAAAGTCCTTGATTCGCTTTGATACTTCTTCAGCTCTTCTGAAAGCGAGTTAACCCTTTCTTGTAGCTTTTGATTGATTTCTGTTAATTCTTGAACCTTTTCTCGACTAGCGTTGGTTTTCAGAGACCTCACCTCGTCTTTCATTCTTTTCAACTCATTTTCCATTTCTTTCTTCTCATTCTCCATCTTTTGAAAAAAGTTAATATCATTTTCATACTTTTTCAAAACTTGATACTTTTCTGATTTCTCTCTGTTGATATCGAATTGATGCTTCGTTTTATCGTTTTTAATTTTGCTCTCTAGCTGTGTTATTTTCATCATTTGCACCTCTCTATGACGTAGAATAGAATCTCTTCTGTCGATCATTTCGTGTAGCTTGTCGATATCTTGCTCTTTTTTTGCAATCATATTAGCAAGCAGGGCATTTTCGTTCTTAATGTTATTAATTTCTTCTGAAAAGACTTCTGATTGTTCATTTTGATTTCGTTCAGCTTCATCTTTGAGCTCAATGGCCTGAATTGCAGCTTGTTTGTATTCTTCTTTTTCTTTCTCCTGTAATTTTATGGAAAATTATATGCGTAAACAAGTTCGTCATTAATAAACTTACGAGCTGTTCAATTTTGATCTTTAGTTCTTCCACTTTATATTCAGCTTCAGTTTTCCTGCGTCTTATTTGATCTTTAAGCTCGTTCTCATAGTCGTCTTTAAAAACGAGTAATGTTCGAAGATTTGCTTTCAATCGATCCAATATGACCAAGGGATTCTCTTTTTTAAGCTCCTCCTTTTCTCTAATCTCGATTTCTTTAATGTCTTCTGCGTTTCCTACAACCTCGTAGCTTCTATCTTTCAATTCAAGATACAATTTAATAATTGCATCCTCTATTTGTTCAACTCGTGACAATTTTTCTTCCATACTTAGTTGCTTTTCCTTTCTTTCTTGAAGTTCTTGCTCTAGCCTCTCCAAATCTCTTCTATTTTTCTTTTTGATTTCTCCAATCTGAAATACATATGTCTCTTTTTCAGTTTCAGAATTTGTTAATTCATATTTGAGCGAATCAATTTCTTTGCGAAGCATGTCGATAATTTTTCTTGTTTCTTCTCCCATTGTGCTCGTTGTAATGCTTTGATTTTGAGAAGCCTTATCCGATGACACAGATTGAGCCGTCTCATTATGTAAATTTGTTGTAGTTTTTTGAGAGATTAGCATTCGGGATGCCATTCTAACGGGCTTGGCTCCCCTTGCACCTCCTCCCGGTAATTTAGCACTGGAAGTCGCTGAGAGAAGTGTCGGCGACTTACGTATATCCGTGTTGCTGTTGCCTGGTGAAAGCATGTTGTTGTTTTATAATCGTTCCGAAACTATAATTGTTTTATCAGTGCTTGATGTTCATCAACTTTTCAATTTTTTTTAAACTGAATTTCATCGGTTGAATTTGGCGGCTGTTGGTTTTTACAGGAGATAAAAACTTCTTTGTGTGATTGCAATCAGACATTTAATGGTGCCATGATCTAACAGTATGAATCAGAACTGATGCTTTATGAATCCATCATGATGCACTCATTGTCTTTGGCATTCAATCAAAAAAATGCTTGCTCGCAATTTCATTCTCAGAAACGTTGCATTCCCTTCCGTTCAAAAGAAGGCGTTGTTGTTTGCCTGTGCTTCAAAGATGATGCACTCGTCAAGTCAATATGAAGCAACAAGGATTTTTTCATTCGGAATGAATGGGTCAATTCACAACAACCATGCGTATTTCACCACCAACATGGCGAGATTGACTCCGAACGAGCATCAACAACCACTGGATGAATCATCTCTTAGCCAGCACATTTTCCAATTTATTCAAGGCCATTCCGAAAATCTTCCTTTGCAAAGTTTCAATGAATTGGACAAGTTATTACAGACTTTAATTTTCCAGGCTCATCTTGTTTATCGGGCAAAGTCTTTGGACGAATGGAGGCCGCTGTATAATGAAATTCTCAATATCTTGATTAACAATTCTCAGATTTTTGCAGAATTAGACCAAAATCAAGTCAAAGAGTACGAAGCAGATATCAAGTCATTTGGAGACGCAATTATAGGTACTTTTGAAAAGTATGGAAAGACTGACGCAGCAACAAGTGAAAATAAGGAAGTAGCAAATTTCTTGAGGTATGTTTTCGTCAAAATTGACAGTGTTGCGAATAATGCCCCTCTAAATATTAGACTTTTGGCTGAGGACATTGTCATTTCTGCCCTTCCAACTGTTAAAACCCAGAACCTATACAAGTCATTCCTACAAAACGTAATTTCAGAGATGGAAGCTTTTTCTAAAACAGCCTCCTCTCAACAATTCAAGGTTATTCTTCTTGCTAGACAGGCACTTTGTTATCACAAAATTGGTGAGCTAGAAAATGCTTTGAAGACTGCAGATAGGGTTGTAGAATTGATGCCAACATTTGCTCCTGGATATCTGTAAGTTACATTTTTATAACTTCTACTCTTTTAATGTCTTTACTCAATTTTTTCCCACGCAACAGTGTTCGTGCATCCACACAGTTGTTCCTTGACCAGCCTCAACAGGCCATCATAGATTGCAATCAAGCTCTAGAGCTCGAACCTGGAAACTTGGAGGCCTATCTATGCAGAGCTGTTTCATATTTGAAATTAGGAGAAGATGACAAAGCTCTATCTGATTTGAACACATTATTGGACATGTATCCTTCAAGATTCGACGCTTTGACAAAGAGATCAGGAATTTACTTTGGAAAGAAACAATATGATCGTGCAATTATTGATCTTGAGAGAGCCTTATTTTATAATCAAAATGATGTACAAGTTTTTCAAGATGTCATTTTCAGCTTTGACTGCCAAAATGACAAGTTTGCCGAGCAGCTGATTATTGGTTTGTTCAATAAGCATAGAGGACAAGCAGTAGATTCTGTTAAGGCTTTTGATGAGTCAATCAAAATTGATTCAAGTGATCCAGTTGCATACCACCAACGAGGTTTGCTACTTTATAACTACATGGGTCAACCCAATGATGCTGCCAAGGACTTTGAGGCAGCCCTTGATAGAAGAGGTCGATTAACCTCTGATGACTACTTGGGAATTGTACTTCAAGATTATGGTATGGTGGTATTGAATTCGTTTGTTTCTGAATTCAAGGATAAGCCTCCCAGTGATGTTCCAACATTCGAGACAGCACCACAGTTAAAGAAGGCATACAGAGCGTTCGAAGAAGCTACTACTAAGTTGCCTCCACAAGCTCAATTGAAAGCATTAAGCAGCATTGGAAGTATTCATGTAATTATGAACGAAAATGAAAAAGGAATTGAAACTTTCACAAAGGCCATAGAGTTATCAAAGCCAAGAGAAGGAAGTCAACTCACACAAGAATTGAGAAGTGAAATTGCTGCAGCTTATTTCAACAGGGCTCATGTCTATCACATGAAAATGCTCAACAATGAAGCAGCTCTCAAGGACTACTCGATCGCTATCAAGCTGAATCCTGGCAATCCTCTCTTCTACCACTATAGATCGATGTTGCACATTTCAATGGGAAATGATGACTTGGCTAAAAAAGATGATGACTTGGCCAAGAAGATTACTGAAAGACAACAACAAAAGATGAAGGAAATGCAACAAATCCAAGAACAAATGGCCAATAATCAGCCACCCCAACAATAATCACCCCAAGTTAAAATTTCAACTTGTGCACTTCACGTCAGCAATCAAAAAAATGAAAAAACTCAACATCTTCAAAAAGCTTCGGAAGAAGGACAAGCAAGAAGTTGTTGACGTCCCACAACAGGAGGATGACGAGCGTTCTGCAATGTCCTACGACGAAGATCTCATGTTTGACATCAATCAAGATCATGAGGAAGTTACCGAAGAAGATTTGGCCGAAAAACAACTTCGGTACCAACAATACAGCAATTACTCGGCACTGGATCTCAATGAATCACTAGAACAAATTTTAAACGAAACCGATCCTGATTATAGAGTTTCGGATTTCAGTTATATTGATGTGATTGCTCGTTCTCTCAAGAATGGAACAGCACAAGAAGATTTGAGACGTTTAAAAGAAAATAAGCAGCGATTGGATGATGCTGTTCAACAAATTGTTTGTGTGAATTATAAAGGATTTAACAAGAGTATCAGGAATTTTTCGGACATGTTGGAGTTAATGGAAAGAGGACGAACACAAGTTGCACAAATGATGCACAAAGTGAAAACGGCAAAAGAGCTATTGTCACTCCGAACTCAAGATTTAATTTCCTTGTACTCGAGTTATTTACAACAGAAAGAGGTTTGTTGATTATTTTGGTGGCATTTTTGTTTTAACAATCATGTTTCAAAATACTTTTACTCGAAATGCACTTTGAAAACGATTCCGATGTGAAAATGTTGAATTGTCGCGAATATAACGCAATCATGGATTAATTATTATATGATAAAATGTGGCGCCAATATAACTCAATCATTGATTAACAATTTATTACCCAAATAATTCAAAACATTTAAAGATTCTCGACATTTTGATAGCAGTCGAGAATGTTAAAAGCGCACCAGAGGATATTAACAAATCAGTGTCAACCAAACATTTTCTTCATGCTGTTCGTGTTTTGAAAACGTATTCCACAGTTGCTCATAGTGAGCGATTAAGATCTATCAAAGCACTTCATGAAGTTCGTGCTCAATTTGTTGAATATTATGACAAATTGCCTGATCTCATCACTGACGAATTGCGTGCACAGCTACACATTCAAGCCTATCAGCGAGTTCTTGACTATATTGATGAGGACGATTGGAACATTGAATCAACCTCTCTAAAAAGAGATACATCTCCAATTTCTGCAAAGATTGGTGGGCCTCGATTGAATACTGCGTCAAAACGACTTGCTGCACTCAGAAGCGAAGCACAGGAAGAAAGTAGAGGGTCATCCTCCGCCTCACCTTCTTCAAAAACAGCACCAATACTTCAGGACAATCTTTCAATCGATTATGAAAAGCAAAATCCTTCACAATATATGATTCTTTTAGTAGAGGCATTGGATGTTATGAATAAGCTTCCAGAAATTCAATCAAGACTCGTTCAAAGCCTTCGTTTTGATTTGAGACATTTAATTGAAGCTCACATTTCTGAATTTTCAAATTCTCTCAAAAGCTCTGACCGTCACTTATTGTGGTTAATCATTCAAAACAAAAGAGCATCTAATTTAGAAAATCAGGGAACACACACAAGTACTAACTTTGAGGATCCTTTAGAACAACACAAAACAAATACAGGAAGATCCATTCTCCAAGGAAAATTAATTGCAGAAATGATGGAAGGCCTCTTTGTGAAACTGAAAAAAGTGTTAAAGAATTATCAATTCCTAGTTCAAATATTGGAACAAAAGAATGCTCAAAAAGGATCTTCATACAGTGGAGGTGACGAGAAGGAATTGGGAGCAATGAGTATTGTCATGTCTAAAGAAGTTCTCACTCGAATTCGAGATGCCATCAATGACTACATGTACAAGAACAGAAATGATACATCAGAACAAGCTCAACTACTCAAGAAATGTATGGAAGACCTTTTATATAACTTTATTGATCAACAAATGGACGATAACAAAAAACAAAGAGTGAAAGTACTGATCAACATTATGGAGACCCAGCTTGGTCTGAATACTAATAATGGAAGAATCAAAAAAGATGCCTTGTTAACCTTTAAATCATTAATTGTTGACACATTGTCATCACCAGATACTCCAAGAGTACTCTCTGTGGAACATGTTTGGAAAACGGTTGAGGATGAAATTGGGTCTGTGTTGAGGGAATTGTTAGGAATTAGAAACAGCGAAATGGAAAAACAAACCGACAAGATCATGATTAACACAGATCTAAAATCAAAATCCAAGAAAAAGAATGACTTTGATTGTGAAATCATGTTCAAATTTTCAGCAAATATGGATTTTGCACTTTTTTCAAACTCTGACAAGTCCAATGATGAAACCAAAGTCAAGACTCTGTGTGAAAGCATGAGCTCGTATTTCATTTTCTCACCCTATAATATTATTTGGATGTACAAAATTGTATTGGGATTTGTTCTCGACATTCTCTCTTGCATCAAGATTGAACATTCCGATAATTCAGAAGGACCCCATGAAGAATCCACATTAAGAACTTTCATGGACAGTTTCATTCGAAATAGTTTTATTCCTCTCATTGAAGAAGATTACAAAGCAAAATTATCCAAAACTTTGAACAGCCAAGATTTTCTCAAAACATCAGCATTCTTGCCACGAGAAGCAGTCAATCAAACAACTTCCACTTATACATATTCATCACAAACCGAAAAGAGACCTCTCCTCAATAGCGTGCTGTTCATGTCTTCATGGTTGCGAGAATTATTTAAAATCTCACTTTCTTTGCCCATGTATAAGGTAGAAGTGTTTCAAGTGATTGATTTGGTGTTAAAGAATTATTTGGCAGCATGCAAGGTTCAGTTCAATAACGTTGTGAATGGCAAATTTATTCAACAATCTCTCACAACAGAATATGAGAGTGTTTATCCAGTACTCAAAGCAGACCCTACCTTTAAAAAACTCTACTCGAGAAGACAAAACTCTTCAGGAGAATCCAAACAATCAGAAAAATTCTATCAAAACTTATTTGTTTTGGTTGATGAAAAGTTGCAAATTAACTATCCTCATTCACTTCCAAAAACAAAATTTATTGACAATAATTCACAACTCATTCTACTGGCTAACCTCAATGACAGTCTCGAATGGCTGGCTGATCTCCTTCAAAAATACCAAAAAGAGATGATTCAAAATGAACAATTGGCAATCAAACAACAATTACAACAACGACAACAACAATTCAATAATGGAGACGGTCAAAGTGGAAAGGCAACTTCGGCAACAACTCCAATAATGAGGCCTCGAAGTGGATCTTCTATCAATACTCATAACTCTCCATCCTTTAAGAGTAGATCCGATACATTGTTAAATCCAATGCCTCATGTCGTGAGTGATTCTAATATTAGAAGAGTAGCTCGAGCTCACCATTTGCGAGTTTTGAGCTCTGATGCAGAGGCAGCCAATTCAGATTCAGATGAAGAATCAGCATTGGAAAAGATTAAGAAATATTCTCTCTTCTTGGTAAATTATGAAAAAGAATATCGAGAGCTTGCTTTGAAATGTCTATTTGCTCTCAAATTAGATATTCGTGTACATTGTTATCACTTTATTCATTGTAATTTAATGGACAATCTTTTGAAATATGGAACGTATGATTGTGAAGATGAACGAAAAGAACCAGAAGATTTTATTAATGCATTCAATCAAGATTTATTCAGAATTGAAAGATATCTTTCGTGTTATTTACCAAAATCTAAATTAAGATATCTTTTTGAATCCATTGAGCGAATGATTCTAGATTTATTTATTGGAAGTCTACCATTTGCAATTTCACAATTTAATGAAATGAAACTCGATGAAGAATCGAATACCATGTTAGGAGGTGAAATATTTAAGGCTCCAAATTTCACAACACTAGGTCTTGAAAAGATGATGAGAAATATCTTTGGTTTGCAACAACAATTATCGAATTTTCATTTAGTGAACGAACGTCGATTTGAAATTATTAGAGATTATTTCAATTTGTTACAAGTGCCATCGGATCAAATTCTTGCCATGATTCAAAATACTCCCCTCAAACAATTACCATTCACAGAGGAACAATATGAAGCTATTCTTCAAACACCCTATGGAAATATTAAGAGAGATGTGCAGGATGTTGTGTTGGCGAGACAATTGTTTGATAAAAAGTTGAAGAAGGAAAAGAAAGACAAGCAAAAATAAATGGCCGTGATGATATTAATTTACTTAAAGAAATCTGTTAATAAGAGCTTGCTCTGACTTTTTTACTTTCGAGGTAACTGTCATTCATTGACATTTTTAGTTGCACACTTTTTTTGAAGATAATTTCCAAATGGTGAATTCGTTGGTTGATTTTTTAAGAATGAAATGGTCGTTTCCTGACCAGCGAGTCATAAAAATTGGTTGAAACATGTTTCCTTCAAATCCTCATTGGCATGTGAGACAGCAAGACAGCCTATCCTATACATCGATATTTCTCCTAATTCTCTCCATTCTTTCATTCAATCAACAACAATATGTTATTCATGTTGTTCGTGCACAATCCTCTCCCTATTCATTTCCTGTTCGATATGTCATTGCTACAGTCGCAGGAACAGGAAATTCCACTTTCAACGGAGAAGGTTTAAATTCCTTTTTGTGCAATATGAAACCCCGAGACGTTGTTCGGCCATGTGAAGCGTGCAGTATCTATGTGGCAGACAATGAAAACCATCGAATTTTAAAGATACAACACGGAGTGGTCACAACAGTGGCTGGAAGTGGCCTTTCATCCCCTTTTAATGGTCATGATTTATTGGCCACAAGTGCCAATTTAAACTCTCCTCAAGGAATTTTTGTTTCATCCAATGAAGAGTTTTTGTGGATTGCAGAGACAGAAGGTCATCGCATAAGAAGAGTCCATTTAAATTCTGGAAATATGACCACAGTTGCAGGAACAGGAACACCAGGTAATGGTAAGTTTTATAATTCTGAAATTTCCCTCTCGTGTTTCTTAATACTTTGATCGTAGGAGGAGATGGAGGACTTGCTGTGAATGCACAACTCAATTTTCCAACCAAAGTCATGGTCGATTCCAATTCTAATTTATACATTGCAGATGGAAACAATCATAAAATACGAAAAGTGGATACGAATGGATACATCTCGTCTTTTGCTGGAACTGGCTCACCTGGAAACAGTGGCGATGGAGGACCAGCTCAAAATGCTCAACTTGATGTATGTACATTGATATTTATTACTGAAGGTTTTTAATACCAAATCAATTTCACAGTTTCCTTCAAGTCTTTTTCAAGATGAATTTGCTGGAGATATCTTCATTGTCGATACCAATAATCATGCCATTCGAAAAGTTTCTAAAAGTGGCCAAATGTCGACCATCGTTTCAGGAGCAGCAGGACTGAACTATCCATCCTCTGTCCATTATTTTCCTTATGAACAACAATTAAGCATTACCGATCAATGAAATCATGTGTTAAGAAAATATAGTACACGATTCAACTCATTATCTCTTTTAGCAGGAAACGGAACGGAAGGTTTTTTCGGAGATGCGGAAACAGATATGCATTTATGGGGAGGTTGGGAATCGCGTGTAATTGAATACCCTTATTCTGCAAGTTCTCTTGTAGGGAAGGGCCTATCTACAACTGCCATGATTTCCTCTCCAACAAGTGTGATTCGAATTAATCATGGTGCCATTTTCTTTGCTGATTATGGTAATAATCGAATTCGAAAATTAACACCATTCTGTGAAAAGGGTTATCGATTTGAATACTCGAGTCATGAATGTTTTCCAGAATGTTATGGAGTGTCTCCAAATAGTAAGGACAGTATTTGTGGAGGCCCTTCCAGAGGACAGTGTATAGCACCCAACACATGTCAATGCAAAAGTGGATACAGTGGATCTAAATGTGAATATGCTACATGTTATGGAATTTCAGGAGATCAACTTTCTCGTGTTTGCAACGGAAGAGGCAAATGTTTATTTACCAACACTTGTATCTGTAATAAGAATTACACTGGAAATATGTGTCAACACACCTCTTGTTTTGGCATTGAAAGTTTCAAGAATGACATGGTGTGCTCTGGAGGACGAGGAGAATGTGTCGATTACAACAAGTGTTTCTGTCGAAAGGGATATTACGGAGAGAAGTGTGAATTTCAGGACTGTTTTGGAATGATTTCGAATTTCACACAAGTGCATCAGGTTATGTGCTCCTCTCACGGAACATGTGTCGATGTCGATCAATGTAATTGCACTCAGGATTATTATGGTACACATTGTAATGTGACGACATGTTATGGAGTTGCAAGTAATGACACCTCCGTATGTTCCTCCAATGGAAAATGTTTGAGTTATAATGTTTGTGAATGTCAAGATGACTTTACTGGATCTAATTGTGAGATACCCAAATGCTTTGGCATTCCACAACATAATTCTTCCTTTGTGTGCAGCGGTCATGGAATTTGTCAAACAAATCATTCATGTTTGTGCGAAAAAGACTGGACTGGAGAGGATTGCTCCATACCTCAATGTTTTGGATATTCAGCCAAGGATGACAGGGTCTGCTCAGGACATGGAACATGTGTCAGAAATAATACGTGTGAATGCGGTAATTATGATCAATATGAGGGATTCCAATGTGAATTGTTTAAATGTTTTGGAAGATCACAAAACGACTCGTCTCATGTCTGTTCGGGACATGGTCATTGTAGAGATTTGGATACTTGTCAATGTGAATCAAATTACTCAGGACTAGAATGTGAAATACCTTCATGTTATGGAATTTTTGCAAATGAAACTCAAACTGTCTGTAATGGCCATGGGTTTTGCAAAAATGTCGATGAATGTCAGTGTTTGGAAAATTATATGGGTCAACAATGTGAAATAACGAATTGCTTCGGAATACCATCCAATGAAACGAATATTGTGTGTAATGGACATGGTGTATGCTCTCATACCAACACATGTCAATGCTTGGATCATTATTTTGGGGAATATTGTCAAGAAACGTTTTGTTTTGGAATCGCCAGCAATGACACAACTGTTTGCAATAACAGGAATGGAACTTGTGTTTCATTCGATCATTGTCAATGCCATGAAGGATGGTTTGGAGAGGAGTGCCTTGATACCAAATGTTTTGGAGTATTTTCAAATTCAAGCGAGGTCTGTAGTGGTCATGGTCAGTGTATAACTACGGATCAATGTCTGTGTGAAAAAGGATATTATGGAAAAGATTGTGCCATTTTCAAATGCTTTGGAGTAGACTTTTCAAACTCCTCGGTTTGCAGTGGAACAGGAAAATGTTTGTCCAATGATTTGTGTCAATGTGAAAATGATACCATGAGCCAAGATTGTTCTCTATTATATATTAAGGCATACTACTTGAACATTACTTTTTCACATTTGGAAATTTTGATGAACATGACTCAAGAGGTTACACTTGTTGTGGAAATTACACATCCCTTGTTGTTGAAATACTACACTGAAAAACCACTGCAGATTTCTATCGAGTTCGATTTAGACGGTGAAAGATTCAACGTTACTAACAAGATGCTGGCCGTAGATGTCACTCACAACTCGAGCTGGCATTTTCGATTACCAAACATTCAACAAGAAGGAAATTTGACTGCAAGTGTGTTACTGAAAGATGTGTTAAGCTCTCTTCAAATATCTGAGACTGCACATTCGGCAAATACTTTGAGAATTATGACCTCATCTCTTGACCATCATCCACCTGAGCTTTCGAAGCGACCAGCACCTCCTTCTTTATCATCTTCATCAATCCACCAAGAAAAGAATAAGGACAGCGACGTAATAGCACTTGCAGTTGGAATTAGTGTCCCTGTTGGAGTGGTCATTATTGTTGCTGGAGTTGTTGCTTCATCTGCAGCGCTTGTTGTAATTCTCAAAAAGAAAGCAGCCGCAAAGGTGGCTGCTAACATTGCCCTAGCTCAGGATGTGTTGTTGGAAGAGGTGTGATGAGTTTGTCAAACGAAAACTTCCACACTAACTTCATTGAATCCAATGAACAATACATCATCTGACAAGTCTTTACAAGTAACATCTACTCTATTAATGAATAAATAATTGTATTATTTTGAGTTTCAAAACAATAATGGATGTTACAAAATGGTTACAATAAATTAAAAAGCACCAAGGTATTTCTTGGCAACAACACGAGAACGAGCATTAAATTGCAACTTGATATCGTTGATATCCTTGTTAATATCTTGCATAAAACTAATAACGAAATCAATCAACTTGTGCTTAAACATGTCCTCAGTGTGGAAGTTGGTAATAAGGAAACTAATATCGTAACCTTCAACTGGCTTTCTTCTCAAAACCAAAAATTGTTCAGCACGTTGCATCAAAAAGTGCATAAAACGTTTGTAGATGATTTCCTCAACTTGGTCGTTCTTCTTAAAGCCAAGACTAATTCTGACAGAGTTGATAGATCCTTCAATCATACATTTATCAAACTTGTCTCTGCTGATAACTACAGGGTTGAGCAACAACTCCTTGCTCATACTGTTGTTACAGGATGACAACATCATAGAATGATTGATTTGTGATGATGAGATTGTGTGAAAATGTGAGTAGGTTCGGGTTCAAGTGAAAAGATAGACAACAATCAAAAGAGAGAGCAAATATAATATTATGGTGAGGTGAGAAACAACAACGGTACAATCAAATACATACCCGACTTCAACTTCTGGTTTGTTGTGTCTTTCGATCATTTGGGATGGGAAGTTCTCAAGACACAAGGCAGCCTCGAGAGTTTTACGGATACAATCGTAATATGGTTGGGCAGTGGTACTCTATTGTGTATGTAGTAACCATTGATCATCATACCAAGCCATCAACGTTGAATAAAATCAAAAGTATTCATCATCATTAACAATTCCAAATCAATCAACAATGTAAATTAGTCATCCGAAAGCAAGGAATATCGTGGAACCAATATTGGTTTATTGTTAATATCAATCGTAAAAATTAATTGATTCGTTGATGAATAAGCTTTGATGAAAAATGAATCAAAGACGTACCATGATGACGTGTGGATTTTGTTGATATTTTTTTGATGATGATGATGTCTGATGACCCTGGCAAGAGAAATCGTTGTTGCAAGCAAACAAGCGATCTAAACGTTTTCCAAAAGTTACACTTGCGTTTAACAGAACTCTCGTTTGCCACGGCTTGTTGCCCTTGGTAATTGAGAATTAAGGTTTGCTCCTCATTAATTCAAAAGTATCTGCTTAGAAGAACGTACAATTACGTTTTACAAAGATTTTATGTTTTTTATTACATTGGAAATTGTGCATCCAAGGTTAATTTAGAAGCACTTTCTGTGGACAATACCTGGGCCGGCATCCTCATATTCTTCCTTGGTGATCCACATTTGTTGGAAGGTGGACAATGAAGCCAAGATGGAACCTCCAATCCAGACAGAGTACTTTCTTTCTGGTGGAGCAACAACCTTAATCTTCATGGAAGCAGGAGCCATGTTGGTCAACTCCTTGGTCATTCTCTCAGCAATACCTTCGAACATGGTAGTACCACCAGACAAGACAACGTTTCCGTACAAGTCCTTTCTGATATCAATATCACACTTTCCGATTGAGTTGAATGTAGTTTCATGAACACCAGCAGCTTCCATACCAATGAAGTTTGGTTGGAACAACACTTCTGGACATCTGAATCGTTCGTTACCAACAGTAATCACGTTACCATCTGGCAATTCATAGGACTTTTCAACTGAGGAGGATTCAGCAGCAACCTTCATTTCTTGTTCAAAGTCCAAAGCAATGTAACAGAGCTTTTCCTTGATATCTCTGACAATTTCTCTCTCAGCAGTGGTGTTGAATGAGTAACCACGTTCCATGAGAATCTTCATCAAGTAATCAGTCAAATCTCTACCAGCCAAATCCAATCTCAAAATAGCGTGTGGCAAAGCATAACCTTCATAAATTGGAACAGTGTGTGAGACACCATCACCAGAGTCCAAGACAATACCAGTAGTACGACCAGAAGCATACAAGGACAAGACAGCTTGAATAGCAACATACATGGCTGGGACGGAGAAGGTCTCGAACATGATTTGAGTCATCTTCTCTCTGTTTGCCTTTGGATTCAATGGAGCTTCAGTCAACAAGACTGGATGTTCCTCTGGAGCAACTCTCAATTCATTGTAGAAGGTGTGATGCCAGATCTTTTCCATATCGTCCCAGTTAGTGACAATACCGTGTTCAATTGGATACTTCAAAGTCAAAATACCTCTCTTGGATTGAGCTTCATCACCAACGTAGGCATCCTTGTTACCCATACCAACCATGATGGACTTTTGCTTTGGTCTACCAATAATAGATGGGAAAACAGCTCTTGGTGCATCATCACCAGCGAAACCGGCCTTACACATACCAGATCCGTTATCGACAACGAGTGCTTGAACGTCTTCAGACATTTTGTGTTTGTTGTGTTGGGAATAGAAGTTGAGGTTTTTTTTGTTTGTGTGAAAAATTTGATGGCAATCAAGAGACTTAAAAAAATTTATGTCCTTGTTGCTCTGACGTGTTGTTGGATCTTCAACAAACCAATGATTTTTTTGACAGATTGTAAACTTGACAATGATTGATGATGTCCAAACCATAAATGAAAGTTGCTTTCCCAAACACATTTTTCACTTGATGAAAGGTGTGGTTAATGGATGAATGATGCCATCCTTCAAATTTTCAATACTGTAGATATGCCTTGAGAGACATGATCAACACTAAGGTGGACGATTTATGACTGACTTGTCTTTTCACACCATAAAACGACAGAAGGCAAATCACATAAATTTTCAAATTATTAATATTTTAATGAAAATCATCTTTGCAGCCTAGAGAAGTGAATCAATATTTACAAGGGTCAAAATTAGGAATTGGTCGGAATGAAGAAGTATTACTTTCGGAAAGTCTTATTTCTCAATTCCAAAGTATTGTGAGAAGGTCGTGAAGAGAAATAATTAATCACTTCTGATTTATCATGATCATCTCCATATTGATTCATGACCTTATAATTGAATTGTTTTCGTTGTCTTGTTCCTCCGATGATATTGTCCATTGAAATTTCAGAAGAGTAATTGGAATATCCCTTATTGCTTCTTGTGCAGACCATTGTTGTTGTGTTGTTTGATTGTTCAGATGTTTTCAGCTGATTTGTTTTGTTGTTGCTTTTCAAATTCTCACATTTTCATCATGAATTTATTTTTGAATTTGTTTCCAGTATTTTGTGAATTTCCATCACAAAGGAGATTCCAGCAAAAAATGGATGACAGCAAGCTCAATAAATGCTCAAGTCAAAACATCTCGAAATTCAGCAACAAAACAAATTACTAACACAACACTTTAATAACGACAATAACAATGGTCTCAAGAACATCACCAAACGATTCCTCATCATCTTCATCCACTGATAAAATTCCAACAAAGACTGAATGGGTCCGATCCAAACCTATTGATATTACCAAACGATTACCAAATTTTGATATTGATCCACGCAATGTTGTGAGTGGAACCCGAAGAAGAAATAATGTGGATTATCACGTTTCAAATTTAACTGGAATGCAAGTCACAGTGAAACGATCATCGAAAAATACTTTGGAAAAGAGAGCTAATTCATCGTCACCCTCGAAAATTACAAAATCAAGAAAGATGAAAAAGTGAATAAATAAATAATACAGTTATCTAGTAAATACATGTGACCTTTCAAAGGTATTCTTCTCAAAGGATGTGGTGCCTTCAATATGTATCATCTTTTATGATACGAGTGAGGCAAAAGAAAAAAACAAAATGAATGACATGAAACAAGCACGGTGTGGAAGTTTGGAGATGGCAAAGTTCGCAATCGAATGACTCCTGAAGTTCCAAAAACATCACTGTCTTATTCTTCTCACAAATTTAAAGGAGGATGTAAAAAGTTTCGGAATGAAGCAGCTACCAGTAATCGGGTTGGTTCTATAATGATAAATCTATTTACCACATCCCTCTAGAAGAATTAAAACTGTTATTTAGTATTCATGAATGGCTACGGCCATATCACGATGAATGCACCTCATCCCGTCCGATTTGAGAAGTTAAGCATCGTCGAGCTGCATCAGTACTGAGGTTGGAGACAACTTGGGAACCTGCAGTGCTGTAGCCTTTTTTATTGATTACAACAAGCTATCACAACTACATCACAAAGTTGGCAATGTTGATATTTGCCATAAAGTTTTGCCTTAAAATTCAAATCATCCTTGTTCAAATATTCCAATACTAAATATTTGCAGAAGTATCTAACAAGGTCATCTGAAAGTTGATTACCATGACAAAACCCATACCAAGGTGTGAACATGACTCTTTCAGTTTTATGAATAAGCATACTGAGCTTTTGACCATCTTCAGATTTTGCAAGAATGTGCCATTGAGAAACGTCTATACAGCTTTTAACCTTCATCCCACAGAGATATGTTTGTGAAAGATCTACAATTTTGTGTTTCTCATTTTCCATAAATAAATATGAATGCTTGGTTTTAAATTCGAGTAACATGATGCTATTCATGCATACTTCATTCAATGCTTCAACATCTATATCAATCATTTGGTATGTATAATCAACAAACCCCTGTTGCGTGCTAGTACAAACGTAACCAAGTCTACTTGGAACACTGTACTCATTGCTTCCTCTTAAAAATAGAACGGCAATTCGTTTTGATGAAATCAATTCTTTCATAATATTCATAATTTCGTGAAATATTGGTTCAACTCTTTCAGAAATACTGCAACCTGCATATAACGGAAATACCACAAAATCATAATCAAAATGATATCGAAATAGTTCAATGTGTTCATTTTGCAATGATTCTTGATTTACAATATCCACACAGCTCAAAAATGCAAATGAATCATCAGGTTGATAGGGCTTATATTCATCATGCACCCTATTAAATTCCATCCATTTGAATAATTCTGGGTTTTTTACAAAACCATTAAATTTCTCGCAAATACATGAAAAAAAGTGATCCGGCTCTTGTCCACGTATAATCAAGAGTTTTTTCAATTTTTTGGGATCCATTGGTCCTTTGGTTTGAGAAATTCGTTGAAATAGATCCGTTCGTGTTTGTTTCGACATTTTTTTAACCGGGTCAACGCTTCTGTTTTTGACAACAAAGTTGCCTTGCCCTCATTACTTTGTGACCGCTGTACACATTCGTGGATTCGAAGTGAGGGTTAAACATTGTTTCATATTTTATTATTTACACAAAGTGTGCGAATTGATCATCCATATGTTCAAAAATTGCATTCAAAATAACGTTTTTAGGACCCATAGCAAAGACGGCATTGTCACTCTTCGTGTCCACGTTTTTTCCAATCAGGTCACAATCATCCAAGTGTTTCAAGAATTGAATAGCCTGTGGATCATCACCATGTCTAATGAACAAGATATTCACTCGATTTCCAGTAGGGTCAGATTTCACAACTCTCTTATGAATCAGATCGAGAATTTTAGGTTCTTGACCTGCATCAGGACATCCATCCGTGAAAACAATAAACAGAATATTCTCTCGGTTGTTAAGATGTCTGTCAAATGCCAATTTCAAAGCATCCAACATGTTGGTCGTTCCCGTTTGAGGCTTGTTATTCCTGAACTTGACAAGCATTTGCCCAATATTTGTGGCCTCCTCTTCTTTCACAAACTCATCAAAGAATATGATTGGAACAGATCCATTGGCATCGTACTGAAATACACTCTCTGCCAAGTATTTTGCAACTTGAAACACATTGTCATAACGAGTCCAAACGTTAGGAGCAATCATACCATTGGATCGACCTTGTCCAGTAGCATCTTCATCCGCAATATTCATAGAGCCACTTTTGTCGACTAACAAGACGAGTTGAAGGCCCTGCAAAGCATCTTCCAATTGGTAAGAATGTTGATAAAATTGTTCTTCATGACGGTTTTGCATGGACGATGGAACTTCATAGGCCATATTCGGAGCAGAGGGAGATGATGAAGTACTTGGATACATGTTAGAGTAGAAACTTTGATTGCGGTTGAACATTTTCAAATAAAAGAGCAAGAACAGGGAGTGTGAATTTGTATTTTTTTGTGTTGAGGTGTGGGGAAACAGGGAACGAATTGGTGTTTAAATTTATTTTGCCAAAACGTGAGAAATGTCAATTTTCACGCAAAGGACTTGCCAAGTTCCCTGTCAGACATTTTGTTCCAACTTAACAAAACGTGAAAGTATTGAAGCCATAGAAATTTTAACATAAGTAATCTTGGATATGCGTTCTTGTCCGTAATTACGCGAAATATATATGGACAACGTCCCAAGGATCAAAATCCACCTCTACAACCCTTATATCTTGAAAGATTAAAACTGTTATTTAGTATTCATGAATGGCTACGGCCATATCACAATGAATGCACCTCATCCCGTCCGATTTGAGAAGTTAAGCATCGTCGAGCTGCATCAGTACTGAGGTTGGAGACAACTTGGGAACCTGCAGTGCTGTAGCCTTTTTGCCTTCATCAGTTTTGCCATCCAAAGAATCCGCTGTAATAATGTCATTGTCATGGACAGATCATCTTTTTCATTACTGAAAACAATTCTCTTGTTTTTATGGACGGGATGCCTGTCAGGAATATGACGACTCTCCCGCTACAACCTTTGGTTGTATGAACAGTGAGGTACAAGAAATCAGGACGATTCTTGAAGTTCTGGTTGGTGAGACAATAAGAAAACACCATACGCTGTTAAATTGCTTTCAAATTACCGTTCAGAAGCCATTAGTTTTGTGGTTAGTGATTATTTGTGATCATTTTTCTGTTGTTCTGAATTTGAAGGTTCACACAAAACCTCAGAAGCGGTTGTAAAAGCTGTTGAAATTTTGAACAAACATCTTACCAGGATTATCAAGTCAAGCCAAAAACCGTCCTTTCAACTTTATCATCAAAAAAGGCTACAGCACTGCAGGTTCCCAAGTTGTCTCCAACCTCAGTACTGATGCAGCTCGACGATGCTTAACTTCTCAAATCGGACGGGATGAGGTGCATTCATCGTGATATGGCCGTAGCCATTCATCAAAGCAAAACAACAGTTTTAATCATTCAAGGCGTTGCGATTTAGTAGTGGTTTTTGAGTTTTGCAAATAGGTTGACTGAGAATTATGACCTGTTCAAACATTTTCTCTGAAATTATCCAAATATTCCATTCATTCCACCCTTCTTGGTGTTAAATAATTTGAGAGAATTTGTGTTGATTGATTTTATTAAACGCAATATATTATCAAAATATACATGTATAGATCAAGATTCCCATAAATATCACAACGCCTTCCTGAATTGGGCTTGGAGTTACATAATTCGTGGTGGTGGATGTCGTTGCTGTGAGCTCCCTTGCAGATACATAAACAGGAAGCTTTGTCATCATGTACTGTCTTGCACGCCCGTACTGTCTTGCACGCCCTTTGCGACATGTTCAAGGATCACAAAGGGCGTGGCAGCAATTCGAATAACCTCATTGGAGCCATGAATGCTGCACGTTTCTTTTTTTACTATTACAAGAGACGCTTGTTTGAAGTAACATGTGAAGGGAATTCTATTTATTGCAATTAAATTTCACGAAGCAAGCAATTCCAATGTTGAAACCTCCATCCACCTTTGTTGTAAAAAAACTTTGTGAACTTTTCTTTTTCGAAAATGCTGACTTCAATTGCAGAGTCGTTGAAGTGTTATTGTGATCAGCGGAACCACATTGCTTGCATGATTTTCCACATGATTTGCATGGAATAAAACAACCTCATTGTTGCAATTTTTAAATCCTCACCAACCCTGTTTGTTATCAAAACACAACAACAAGAGTCGAAAGATTTCTTGTAACTCACAGTTCATACAGTCAAAGACTGTAGCGGGAGAGTCGCCATATTCCTGGCAGGCATCCCGTCCATAGTAATTAAGAGAAATTAAAAATGACTTTGCTTCTCAACCCTCGGTTGGATGAACTTGTATGTTCCTTTTAAAGGAAGGAATAAAATCAAAAAAATGTCGTCCGCGTGTGGTGTAGCTCTCAACGAATATTTAAACGAAGACGTTTTCCGAGTCGTCTTTTCGTTTCTGACCATTCATGATCTAAATCAAATCATTGCTACAGGTAAAAACCATCCCATGCCAATTCTTGCACGTGATGATCAATTTTGGGAGTTGTATTCTCGGCAAAAGTTTGGCAAGATCCGAAACGAAATTGGACAATTGTTGTTTAATCAAAATGAAAAAGTATTGAGCTTAATACCGAATATTATTGAAAGAGAATTTAGAAAACAACTTGTAGAATTTGTTTGTCATGTACAGTCAGAGATTGAAAATAATTTCAAAAAATTGAAAAATAGAGTTTGTAATTTTAAACATGATGCAATTCCAAACAATGATCATGACCAGAGAGTGTTGTCTTTAGTCACAACCTATGTAGAAAAAGAAGAAATTTTGAATGTTAACAATGAAGAAATACAAAAAGAAATTAACAAACATTTGAAAAAGAAAAGCAAGTCTTTCAAAGTCGTTATTGTTGGATCTACGTCAGTAGGAAAAACCAAATTGGTAGACACCCTGGACACAGGTTATTATTCTGAATACATGAATAAGGGATGTTGTTCTTTCGAATATATTTCTTATGTGAGTGAACAGGACAAGAGTAAAAGCTGCCGTTTTAATTTGTGGGACACTTCTGGTTGTGAAGAGTAAGTTGAATAGTGGTTCAATCGAACACTGGAACGTGTGAATGTCTGTCCATGTATAGTTATGATCGCCTGAGGCCTCTCTCCTATTTTGGAGCTGACATTGCTTGTGTTTGTTTTAACGTCACAAATCATAATAGTTATATTGCAATCACAGAGAAGTGGATTTCAGAAATTCGACAAAATTTACCAACAGTTCCAATAATATTGGTAGCTTGTAAAACTGATCTGAGAACAGATACTCAAGCTCTGAACGAACTGAAATATCAAATGTTGAGTGCTCCTATCACTAGTGAGCTAGGAGTAGAATTGGCGAAACGAACGGGATGTATGACCTATGTGGAAACTTCTTCTAAGAAATATTCTGGATTGAGGGAGTTGCCAGAATTGTTTATGAAAATTTTTGCCATAACTAGAATGCAATCTCGTAACAACAAGTCATCATGTCAAGTTCAGTAGTGAGATACCACACTTTGAATTTTCATAAAAATCACATTTTGAATGATGGAACCTGTAATTTGGTCAATTGAGGAAGTGTACTAGTTGGTGCATGTTAAAACTCAAGTACCTTTATTTAACAATAAGATCCACAAGCTTGTCCACTTCTTGCGCAATCTTCTTCCATAAACGTCTTGGTAATTTTTTAGATCTATATCGACGCTTGTTTTGAGTTTTGGAAAATTGCTTAATCATTTGTGAGACGCGCTTCCAATAATTCACTTCAGATTGGAATTTTGCATTCTTTTTACGAGCCACTTGTTTGGTCATGTTGAGAACTCTTCTCCAGTATTGAGTGTTGTTGTGCTTTAAATTCTTGTCACCAAACTCCTTAATGAGCTTTGTTATGCTTCTCCAGTATTCTTGATTGGATACGCTTTCTGAAGAAGTTGGTTTGGAGATAAATAAATCTTTGGTCATGGCAATGACTTGTCTCCAATATTTTACATCCTCTTCGTTTGGTTGAGAGTTTGTTGAAGAAGTATTGAATTTTTGTGAATTTCCACCAAACTCCTTGATCAGAGATGCAATTTGTCTCCAATAATTCTTATCAGGACTTGTTGTAGTTTGTAATCCTCTAGATTTAGCAAATTCTTTCATCATTTTGGAAACACTTCTCCAATAATTCACGTCGACCATTTGTCCATCCTTAGTAGGACTAGATCCTGCAATCTCTTTAACCATTTGTATGACCTCTCTCCAATACGATCGATCTGAATCACGAATACTTTCTTCAACATTCAATTTTCCATTTTTCACCGACCATTGATGAGCTCTTTGACATAATTTCAAGAAAATTTTCGACAAATCTTTTTCACTCCATTGAATCATCTTTCCTTCCATGGTCAAATCTGTGATATAATTTTCAATAAGTTCTCGTATTTTAATGTTACTGTTGAGGAGAGACTTTAATTGAGCTTTTAATGATTGAGATAATTTAATTCTTGTTGAGCTCAAAGTGGTATTGTTTTTGGAGAGTGTTGTTGTTGACAGAGTTCCGATAATACTTTTCACATGTGGTAAAAGTGGTTTTAAGTTTTGTGAAAATTTGAAATCTGTGATATTTCCATATTGTTGAAAATCATAATCATGATTGCAATGTCAGTAATCAAAAAATAATATTATTAAAATATTTGACACGTGTCCGATTTTGTAACAGTGTCATTCAATTTAAATATTTTTAACCATGATGATGTTATAACAAGATCATACCTGCTTCAATGGTTTTATAATCTGCAAAAGAGTCTTTCATTTTGTGTTTCAAATGTTTTCTCATCGAAGCTGTCAAATGTCTAATCATCAATAAATCTTCATGAGGAACAAACAATGGCTCATTCGAATCTGCCAACACTGTACCAGCCATTGCGAGAGCCATCACAACGACCAACACAAACAGCAATCCACGATTGGCGGAGTTTGCTTTTAACATTTTTTTGCAATTTTTAGACACCCGACAGCTCTCAATATAACTCAATAACGAATTTCTACCAAATGCTCATTCGTTCTACAACAGTTGTTTCAAATGAATAAGAATGCATTCAGCCATGATTGATCACATAGACTATATTTGTGTCGTCGTCGTCGAATTATTGCGGAAAGAGGCTCTCCGGTGAATTATGGACAATAATTTCAAAAAAAAACAAGTGACTCTCTTTGCTCTCATTTCTTCCTTTCGGGCATGGGTGTTTTTTCCAAGTTGCATTAATTCACCAAATTTTTGATTCTTTCATAGGCTAATTTGTATAACTTATTGAGAATGGTAGGTTGAAAGAATGAAGATCCTCCTCCGAGTACGAGCAGAACATTTTTTAAATGGTGGTTGATTTATTTGGAAATTTTGCTGATTCGGATGATGAATGTGATCATTTCTTTTTGTATCGTTCTATGCATATCCATTGGAATTCAATCATCACATGATGATGATGGTAAACAATTCAAACGTTGTGCACGCTTGTATCTGAAATTTATGACTTCGGACCCGGAATTTAATCATTTATTACGGAATAATTATTTCATCAACCTCTGCAAATTGTTGTTGTTGTTCTCTTCGGCTCATCATGATTATTTCAGAGAGTGGTTGATTCCTTTCCAAGTACTCACAATTATTACATACATGATCTAAAATATGATTTCTATGGAGAACGTATCGCATCTTGCTCTAGCGATCATCATATTAAAGTTTGGGATCGAGTAGAGTCTACAACAAGTCCGAATACTGTAATTCCGAACATCATCACACCCAGTACCTCAACAGCATCTTCAACCACACAAAAGTCTTGGAAGTGTACCTATGATTGGAAAGCTCACAATGGAAGTATTTGGAAAGTCGAGTGGGCTCATCCAGAATTTGGACAAGTATTGGCATCATGTAGTTACGATCATACAGTCAGTATTTGGGAAGAGCCTCCTGCTAACAGTGGTCCAGGAAGTGGATTAGCTCCGATAATGATTTCACAAGGAATTATTGGAAATCCATCCAAAGACGGTGTAAATAATCAACAACAAGTGATTTCAAGTAATGCTGGTGGCGGATCACTTCATACAAGTGCCAGCAGTGGCAATTTACAAAATTTACCTCGAGTTTCCTCTTCGACAAATGTACAGCAACAAGATGGACTCTCTGACGGAAATATTTCACCATCGTCGAATATGGATCCAAATGTGGCGGTGGGCAATGGAAATTTAATGACTACATCTTCAAGCAATTTGGCTCAACAACAACAACAACACATTCAAACCAATACAACTGCTGGCTCTTCTTCAAGCAGTGCAACTGGAACAGCCGGACCACTTTCAAGAAGAGCATGGCTACTAAAAGCTACACTTGTAGACTCAACAGACGATGTGGTGGATATCAAATTTGCTCCAAAGCATTTAGGGCTGAAACTCGCCACATGTTCACTCTCTGGAAAAGTTCGAATTTATGACGCATTTGACGTGATGAATCTCGCCTATTGGAATATTGGACATGATTTTGATGCCAATAACGGAGGAAAAATTCATTGCCTTAGTTGGTGTCCTTATCGATTTAAGGAGCCAATGATGGTCATTGGATGTGAGGATGGAAAACTACGAATTTGGCACTACACTCAAAATAGGAAATGGCAAAGCTGGACGCCGTCAACCATTATTCCAAACATTCATAATATTTCACAACAATTGGTTGGATTTACACCTGGGACGCCTATAAAACCAATTTCTGTGAATGAAGGAAATGCAAGCCAAGTACTTGCACTGTTTGGACACGCTCAACCAGTTCATGACGTTGCATGGGCTCCAAACTTGGGAAGATCGTATGACTTGATTGCGTCTGCTTCGAAAGATGGCTCTGTTCGAATTTGGAAAATTATTACAGAAACTAAGACAGTGGAACTCATGGAGATGGATGAGACACATAAACATAATTCTGAAGTTTGGAAAGTGGAGTGGAATCTAAGCGGAACAGTCCTTGCAAGTAGTGGTGATGATGGTACAGTTCGTTTGTGGAAATATAACTTTGAGGAAAAACGATGGAAATGTGAATCAGTTGTCGAAGGTGTCAATAAAAACGAAAACTGAGAGATTTTTGTGTTTGTTTTTAATTTTTGTTATTTGCAAGCATACCCTCAATCTTTTGCCGTTTGATACTTGCTGGTCAAGATTTTAATATTCTCGTAAAACCATTTTACGTTGATTGCCTCAACAGATATTTTCCAAACATCAGCCCAATCGTGTCCCGTTTTCATTGCATCAATGTCCTTCTTTAGTTTTTCCAAAGCCTCCAAGGCAAAGTCTGACGAAGACAAAATTTGAATGGCACTCATGATTCCTCTATGAATGCTCTCTTTTTGTTCAACTCCCAACATCACACCTGTTACTTGATAAATATATCTCGAAACATCATCAATATATGAATTCTCACAGGGCTTTGTTGAATAAAGACTCTCCACGAACTTGGAAAGTTTGTCCACATACAATTGTTGATTATCGTCTCCAGAAATTGCAAATAATGTCTGGTCAATACACACAAGCTTTGAACGAGTCGAAGAAAACAAAATATTCGTTGCATTTCCATCATGATCCCAAATTCCACTCATTGGAAATCTGTCACAATTATTACAAATAATATCCAACACAATCATTTTTCCAACATCCAATAAAACCTCTTCATGCTGTTGCACCAACAATTGTTGAGCTAGCTCCTCTCGATTCATTAAATCTTCCAAACTCACAGCTCCCTCCACAAATTCCATAATCATAAAAAACGCTCGATCCAATTCCTTTTCAACTTTCATTTCACAAATTGTATCATTCTTGTTTTTTGCCACTCGTTTCATATTGTCTTTCATGGCAATCCATTCTCTTGCTCCAGATTTCAACAATTGCTCTCTATTTGTAACTTTTGGATGATATTCCACAAGTCGAATTTGTGGTGAGAAGAGTCCCAATAATTGTGCAATTCGAGATCCAAAAATCTCTTGAGCCAAAGTCATGGGTGCTTTCACGACAATGACCTGATTCGGAATTTGAGTTTCGACAAAAAAGACACCTGAAGAGCCACTTCCACTCAAGCCAATATTTCGAATATGATCCCATTCAATCGGATGATTTATCGGATGGGGAATGGCTTGTTGTAAATTGAGTGTGTTCGAGGTGGAAACTGTTTGCCACTTTTTCTTTGGTTTTGTAGCTTCACGTTCGGAAGTATTCATACTTGACATCTGAGGTGGAGGTGGAGGAGTGGAATGTGATAATATTGTCGAGGGAGGTGGATGGTTGGTTGAAAATGTTGAACCAATTGGAGGAGGAGGAACATTTCCACCCATTCCAGGAGGAGTTGGAGGAGGAGGAACGTTTCCAACCACCATGACTGTGGGTGGTGGAGGAATTGGCGACATTTTTTTATAATTGAGGTGTTGTTGGTGCCAATCTCGAGATACAAAATTGAATGCTTTACTAAAAGTTCGCTGTTCCAGGTTCATCATATTTCAACTACTGCAACTTTGAAAAATGGATGGATACTTCTTGTGAATAACGAATCGAGTGCTCGTTGAAGAGAATTCGAGCTTGTTCAATGTATGGAAAATCAGGCTTAATATGCACATGAGTGACATGTGAACAAGCATCCAGCATGACCTCAATTCCATCGCAAGTCATTTCATCACAATATGAAATATTAATCTGTAATAAAGATTTCAAAGAGTTGGAGACTGCATTGAGTGCTTCATCGGTGAGTAGAGAACATTGACTGATATCAAGAATTTCTAATTGAATACAACCATCACACATGACTTCAAGAGCGTCATCGGTAATGTGCTCATTTCCTCTCATTCCAAAACGTTTGAGATTTGGGCATAACTCTGACAATGCAATCATGGCGTCGTTAATATTTTCCACATAATGAATGGTTAGAGTTTCGATGGTCTTGCTTTGAAGAGCTTTTCTAAGGCCATTCGATGTGTAACGTGGTTTTGTCTTTGATCCTTGCATGAGCCCAAGATGCTTGGGTTGTTTCAAATATACTCCAATGTTTTCAAGAGTGGTATCAGTGAGTTTGCCCCAATTGTTAATATTAAGGCATTGTATGCTTGGAAATTTCTCTAATAAGATCTTTAAACCTTCATCTGTGGCGTTGTAATTATTCTCTGATATGAAATGAGTAAATAAATCTCCGCTAGAAATGCTATTGGCAATAGTTTTGAGAGTTGAGTTTGTCACTCGAATATTTGAAATGTCCAAATATTGTAAATTGGGAAGGTGTTTTAAATGAGTAAACGCCTCATCAGAAATTTGCCAACAATTATCCAAAATTATTTTTCTCAAGAGTGTACATTTCTGAAAAATTGCAGCCAGACTGTGATCTGTCACTGTGTCAAAATGTGTAAAATTTAACACTGTTAGTTGGGTAAGCTTCCCAATCAATTTTAAATCTGCCGAATCGATAGTGGACTCGTTGGCAATGTGAAGTTCTTCTAATTCTGGAAATGTATTCTTCAATATTTTTGGTAGCTTTTCCTTCGATCCTGAATATTTAGCTGTATCAATGACCAGTTTGTGCACATACTCTCCAAATTCTTGAAACGCCTTGTATGGAATGGACGTCTCTTTGTTAATTTTCACAATCTTGGGTCCTCTCATTGTGTTTTTTACAACAGCTCTTGCTAAAGTAATTGGAAGGGAGTCCAGTTCTAATTTCATCTTTTGTAATTTTGATAAAATAGACTTGTTTTTTGGATCGAGGCAAGAAAAGCTCAAAGGTCCATAATATGTTCTTAATTTCAAACAATTTTCAAACAACTTGCTGGCTGCAACGTGTTCAGAATCAAAATTGTTTCCGTCAATCTTTAAAATTTCTAAATTAGGGCAGTTGGAGGCAATAGATTGAAGAACTGGGTGTGAAAAATCTTCTTTTTCACCACTCTCTTCGTTATCGTCCTCTTCTTTTTTCACCTTTCTCTTTTTCACTTGTGGTTGGGCTTTCGCTTTTTTTAACAAATTGCAATTCCTAATGTCAAGACCTATTAAAATTGGTCCAAATTGTTCTGTAATTCCAATAATATCGCTTTCAGTTGCAATTTCACTCATAATTAAATAAACAAATACTGATTTGTTTTCCACACCGTCGGTGGAATGTATTTGAGGGTACCTTGCTTCATGATTCCTTTTCCACAATATTTTGTGAATTTTGATGGATTTGGACTTGTTCTTTTTCTTTCTTTCACTTGTTTTGATGCTCTTCAAGACATAGTCCTTTCCATGGTGATCATCGAAAGTATAAACTTCTTCATCCGATGTGGAAGCGCTTGCTGGTTTTTTTCCATTTCTACCTCTTGAAGAAGAATCCCGAACTACATCGACGTTTAACAAAAAGTCCTCTTCTCCTTCATGATTTTGCATTACATGATCCTCGGAATTGGGAGTAATGTGTTGTTGTTGTGTTGTGGGCAGATCAACAGTGTCATGATGATCGGTTGGATTAATAAACGGACTCACCACAGGTGGTACATCATCCTCTTCGTCAAACTGAATTCCATCTTGATGGAGTGCAGTGTCGTTGTTGTATTGAGTTTGGTCGTTTTCTTCTTCGTCGTGATGATGAGGCTGAAGAGGATCATCCATCCTGAGTGTGTCCTTTTCGAAAATTCAAGCTCTCCTGAGATTGGCTTGTTTTAATTTTTTCGGAATTTGTGCAATTTCCAAAGGCTGAAAGGAAACAAAATTCAACTCTTGTTTAGTTCATATGAGAAGAAGAATACGAATCAGTAACTTGAATCATGAATTTTACAAGCTTTTTTCTCTCTTAGAATTTATTTAACCACGTTGTGGAGCAGCAATTATCTTTTCACCTCTGAGATATGGCAAAGCAATTCTGAAGAGCTTTTCATAATCAATAACATCAGCTTGTTCCTCATCCCAGTTCTTGTTAATATATTCCTTGAGACCAGCCTTCAAATATGGAAGAGCCTTGCTCAACAATTCTTTGAACTTGAGTTCAGCATCAGCCTCTTCATCAAAAGATTCCTCAGAAGCAACTGGAGCAACAGGAGCAATACGTTCCTTAATGTAGTTCTTGACTTGATCACGAACAACCTTCCACAACTTCTTGAAGAATTTATCAGATTGAGGAACATCTTCCAAAGGAATGCCGAATTGAGTACGAATGTAATTCTTACCCAAATTCTTGGCAACATCCAATGCCTTCTTGAAGAGCTTCTTCAACTTTAAATCAGCCAATTCATCATTCTCCAAATCAGCCAATTCTTGACTATCCCAATTCTTGTTGATATATTCCTTGAGACCAGCCTTGATGTATGGCAAAGCCTTCTTGATCAAACTTCTAATATCGAATTTGCTAGCATCAGCCATCTCAACAGCATCAAAGTTTTGATTGACATAGGACTTGAGAGCTCCCTTACCAACTTCCTTGACAATATTCCAAATCTTCTTCCAGAACTTGTCAGATAATTCCATTTCATTGTCCCAATTCTTATTGACGTAGTCCTTAACGGCACCCTTTCCAATTTCCTTGACGACATTCCAGACAGACTTCCAGAATCCCTTATCAGCCTCTTCTTCCCAGTTATTGGCAATGTAGTCCTTCACACCTCTTTTAATGTAAGGCAAGATACATTTAATGACTCGGCACCACTTTTCATGATGATCAGCCAATTCCTCAGCATCCCAGTTTTGGTTAATGTATTGCTTGGCAGCAGCCTTCAAATATGGAAGGACGTTCTTGAACAACTTTCCGAGTTTGATGTCAGCTTCTTCCTCTGGAATTTCATCCCAGTTCTTGTTGATGTAGTCTCTGATGGCAGCTGTTCGATGAGAGAGAATAAGAAGAAAATGAATGTATAGAGTGTGATGATCATCCATATGGATGGGTTGGTTATAATAATCAAAATCATGAAGAAGCATCCATGATGGCGCGTATACCGTTTTTCATACAAAAGCGAAATGATCACGAGTCATGATCGAGTGATGAGAGTCACAACAAGAATATCGAAAGTGTCAATTTTGAAATGACATGAGGAGCATCAACCAAGAGAGTAGCACGTGTGTTCAATAATAATTGAAGCAATCATATCAGTATGTGACCACAATCATCACAGTTTCCATGTCATCCAATAATAATAATAACAACAATAGTAATAGAACGAAAAAGCAACGAACATGTCCAAATGAATTTGTTAACGTTGGATGGAAGATAACGTTAGTGATGTTCTTTCAATAACAAACAATTCAACATACCCTTTCCAATTTCACCAACAACTTTCAAAGCCTTTCCCCAGAAATTCTTATCAGCGAGTTCTTCATCGGTCAAAATGTAGAATCTTGGTTCCTTCAATTGTCTAATAATACTTGGAGTGAGGAAGAAATCTGCTTGTTCCTCAGCTTCAGCAATACCCTCCAAGAAGGATTGGAGTTGTTGGTCTGCTTGTGGACTCACTTCTGCAGTGACTGCTGTGATGGCCAATAATGCGACCAAGAGAAGTGCGAACAAGTGTTTCATATTTTTTGTGTGATGTTGGTTGCGCAGAGTGTCACTTGACACGAACAGTTTTAAAAGTTACGCTTTCTTGATTGTAATGATCACTTTTAGCGATTCGTTCAAGGCCATTACCAGTGGTGGATTTTATTCGTTATGATAATCCTGGCGAATTTGAATTAGGGTAAAAGGAACATGAGAAAATTCTTAATGGCAAAAGTGACCTTTCTAGTTTCTGGGATTCGTGGATTCTATCTCTGATATATTGCTTGGGTCATTCAAAAAATAGGTGTTCTCAATTTCAAACAACCCAAGCTCTTAAGATCTTCCTTACTTTTTCACAAACTTTCTCTTCTTCGTTCCTGGTTGTTCTGGTGCAGTTTCAGGTGCTGATGGTTCAACTCGTCTCTTTCCTTCAGAAGTTGGAGAAAGTAACGAACTGATAATGGATGTTTCCGCGCAAGGAATGTTAGGATACATCTTTCTCAGTTTCTTGAGTTTTTTCGATTCTGGCGTTGTGTAAAAAATGTGAGTACACAAATCTTGTTCCAAATTGTCCACGTTGGTCAAGATTTTACCTCCTCCAGCCAAAATAATGTTGGCATAGGATGGGCTTTCATCAGCCAAATAGACACACAGATTGGCAAATGGTCGTTGTTTTGTTTCTCTGATCCTCCTAGCAGTTGAAAGATGAAGAGCCACCTCTGCATCTAATTTACCGTCATTGTATTGATAGGGTTCTTCTTCAAGCCACTGTTTCTGCTTATAAGATGCAGAAATGTATTCTGGTCTCAATATCCAACATCCTGATGCAACACAACAAAAGAATTTTTCAGTAGTAGACGGACTCCCCATGATCAGATGTGTAATTGACGATGAATACGTGTCTTCTACTTTTCCACCAAGCCGTTCGATACATGCTGCCACAGTAGCCTTATCTGAGACAGAAGTCAAGAGAAATACTTTTTGGTCATAGCTCGATTTCCAAAGATCTTTGTGACTTTCAGAATCGTGACAAATAATTTGAGTTTCAAGCTGTGTGGCATAAGCGGGCGTGTTGAAATGAGCGAGTTTGCTCAGTTTTTCTTTCTTCAGTTTCTGATCATATTCAGCTCCAAAATCACTCACACTGTTCACTGATCCGCTGTTTGAGTCCATAGGATCGTTGGAAATAAATATATTAGATTCTAGATTTTTCTTTGCCACAAACGTTGTGTCACTTGAGGGTTCACTAAAAATGTCTGCAGTCTTATTGGTTACGTTAGACTTCTTCTTTGGTAGCAAGTCAAGAACCTTACTCTTAACATTGCTTAACGAAGTTATATTTACAGGTGTAGCGACCGTGGGAGGTTTAGAGGGTGAAATCGTATCCCGTGCGTTTTCATCTGTCAAAATTTCCATCTTTGTTGGTGTTGTTTCTGTTTTGCAAACCTCTTTCTGTTCACTTTTAGAAGGGGTGGGTGTATCAACTGAAGTAGGTGGAGCCGTATTGATGTTTGTAGCTGTTGTTGCATCCACAGTGTTGACAGTGGTCGATGTGCTCGTCGTGAGAGTAGAAGTGCTTGTTTCTTTGTTTTCTGATATAACTTGTTTAAAATCACTGGGCGGAAGAAAGTATCCTGCTTTGTAGCTCTCCATCAACCAATACTTTGTTACAATTGGAATGTTGTTCTTGACAGCAAAAATATACTTGTCAGAAGTGTCTTCGCACACTAAAATCGTTGAAGTTTTCCTCAGTGCTCCACTGGTTTTAGCTCCAAGCAATTCAACAATTGTTGAAAGAAGAGGTTTATCCTCTGGATAGCCAGAAATGACTACAACCACGTCTTCGTTCTTCATTGTTGCAACACCCTCTTCTTTTGAAGGAATTTTGTTGAACCCAAGGCGAAATGTAGGTGTGTAGAGAATTGAGTCCTTCACATTTTTCACAGAGTTTGAATTTTCACAATCTTTGAGCCATGTTAAGGTTCTAATTTTTGGATTGTTGTCTCTAGCAGCCTTGCTAGACTGTGGATAAATTATAAAATCTGGTGATGTTTTCACAATTTTGCCTCCGTTTCTTTCAATAATAATTTTAGCTTGTTGTTTATCTGTGCTTGATAACAGATCTGAAAGTTGGAGCGAGTAGTTCGAGAAAGTTTTCACAGAATTCTTCAATTCGTTTGCCATTGGAGGTATATTGCTAATTTCTGTGTCTTGATGCTTGTTCTCAAGTTGCGAGGCTCGTGTTTGCGACTTTAGAGCTTCTGCCAAATCTTCTTCAGAAATGTCAAGCTCAATAAAATCAGTCTGTGTTGTGATGGGAGATGCTTTTGTAGTTGTTGCTGATGTAACATCGACGTTATGATTATTGTCGGTTTTGTTGTCATTATGAAAGTTAGTTTTGTATAGATCTATTGGTTGAATTTCCATGTTTTTAATGGAGTCTCTCAGCCACTTGGAAGGAACAACTGGTGGCTCGTAGCTTAATTTTTCCATTACAGAACGAAGCATGTCTTTTGTGTCCATTGTTTCATCCACAATAATATAATTAATGGTCGGTAACAGAGAAAAAGAGGCAATTCCTCCATAATTTCGAATTGTTTTTCTCTTATTAAAGACAAAAACCCATTAGCAAAATTTTCAATTGGTTATATCATACTTACCACTTCTGTTATGGAATGAGTAAACCCTATCAGGTAAAAAACAAGTCCATTCAATAAGGACATGTCAGCATCTTCTGTGGAAAATTGAGATGCTGAAAAATCAGCCGTGTCCAATGAATCGTTCTTGTTAACTTGTGTAGGTTGCACAGAGGTAGGGAAAGGTTTTGTGCTAGTGGTGGAAGTTGGAGTGGTGATATCGCCTTCAGAGAGTGCGGATTTTGATTGAAACCTTAAATGAGTAAAGCTTTTAGAAACATCTCAAAGATGTGACGTTCACTTACTTTGCCAAAATTTCTTTACATTTTTCTTTTTCGTCGTCAGTAAGGGAGGGTAGAAAATAATGAGATTCATCTTGTGCATACTCTAATTTTACAGAATCTTCAATCCATTTGCTAGTGACGATATTGATATCATTTTGAAGAGCAAACTCAAATTTTTCAGATCCTTTTTTCTGCAGGTTCAAACAATTAGTTTGCATGTACCATTTAACAGTTGGAAATAGAGAATTAATTGCTTACCTTTGCTATGAGATGTGTGTAACCTGCCATAAGAGCAGGGTTATATATTGCTCCATTCAATTCACACATTCTCTTTATGCGATTCCTCATTTCCTCTTTGAAGCCAGTGGCACAAATTTTACAGCCATAGAGCGCCGGAGCTATAAATTTCGAAACATCCAATAATTTCCCTTCTTTCATGGACTCGAGAAGCCATTCTTCTTTCACTACAGGAACATCATTTGCAATAGCTTGTCGATATTTATCAGTTCCGACTCTGGCAACAACAAGAACATCAGTCCGAGTCTCAAAATTAAATTCCACTATTAAACCGAGCTTGGTTGCTTTTTCGGCAAGTTCTACCTGTAGCGATTGTGCCGATGATTCATTTGAAATATCATTGATTTTGTGATGAATGCATTATTATTATTACCATCATTCCATACCAACCTTCCGTTCGGAATTAAAAGCTGTAAAGCAAACTTGTCGGATTTTGCGATCCATGATTGAAAATGAAAAAAACACACACTCTTGATGGTGGTGATGAGGCTGATGAATATGTATGAGCAGTGCTGTGGGAATGTTCAAACGTTCAACACAAGGATGGCAACAAAATGAATTTTTTTTTCGAGTATTGGGTCGAAGAAATTTCGGAACTATTGCCAACTACACATCGTTTACTTAATGCTCAAACACAGAGTTGGAATAGATCCATACAGATAGGGAAATAATGGCTAGTGTAAACATAATGCTAGTCACGGTTTCAAATGTGGAAGCTCTTTCAATTTCCTTTTCTGGAATTGATCTTGCCGTGGTTGGAGTTGGAGCAGTAGTGGTAATGGTTGGAATGTTATTATCATCATGATGGATTGCAGTTACACCATTCAAGGTCAATTGTTCGATATGAGCTTTCAAAAATTGTAATTCCTTTCGAGTTTCTTCCAACGATTTTGAGACTTGTTTGTTCTCTCGACTCAGCAATGTATTTTCAGATTGCAATTGTTTGATCATTTTCTGTTTTTGTAATTCCAAGAAGGTTTCTTTTTTCATTTGAGAAATGGTGTGATCTTTTTCTTGAAGTGCTTTCAAGAGTTCATTGACTGTTGGGGTTGCTGTGTTTGTGGAATGATTATTGGCACCTCTATGAGTAAGCCCACCGTTTTCTTGAACTGAAGGTTTGTGGTTGCACTGATCGGAAGCTTGATCTTCACAACTGACACTATTCAATTCTTTTTCATTCTGTGGATAATTCGAGAGGATTGTTGATTTTCTAAAGAGATCTTCTTGATGTTCGATCAGGAATTGACAAACATCACACACGACTGAAATGGTTTCTTGTTGTCTCTTAATTTCAGATCGAATAGAAAGTCTCTTGAAACTATCCATGTGAACACGATCAGAATTATTCACAGTTGGAACAAAGAGTAAATTGGGTCCAATGACAATGGCCATATTTCTTGGAGACATCTTGTTGAGTGTCACATTTTCTTCAACACAACAAATGTCATGACAGAGAGACATCAATTCATCCAATACAGCTCTATTCACTTCTGGCAAGTCTAATAAAATTAATTTTGTTTTTTCTAACAAGTATTGTTCATCATGATCCTTAATTGAAAATAATTCAATAAGTGTGTCATACTTGTCAAAGGTCAACAAACAATCTGGCAATCCTCGAAGATAGGTCTTGATCATATCTGCTGCTATCATGACTCCAAAATGTGTCGGAATATCAATACTCTTATTTACAAACATTTGAGGAAATGCCATAAATGAGTTAAACAATTTTGAAAGTTCTAATAACTTTCTTTTCGATCCAGCTTCTCTAAATATTCCTTGAGTTTTCAAACCTCCATGATCTCGAACGTATTTGATACAAACTCTCAATAGGTATGGAATTTTCACAGGTTTCAATAATTCTTCATTTAATAAATCTCCGACATGAATCAATTGAGATGGAATTTGAGTTTCAGATTCGAGTGTTGTATTGGAGCATGAGGTTGCTTGTGATATAGTGGATGCAGAAAATTGAGTGTAATAATGTTCCATATTGAATAAAGTTTCATTGAGACAAGTAGAACTAAGGGAATTATTTAACACAGTGACTCGAGATAGATCCATGGAGGGATGTAATTCCAAATAGAGGAAATCACTTTCATCGTTGAGGACTTCTTCGGGTAAAGAATGAGTGAGCGATGGTGTCACTTGTGACAACAACTTGAAATTGACACTGTCAAGAACATGATTTTGTGGTTTCAATTAATTAAAGTTGAATACATGTGTGTCACAAGGTGAATGTAAACCATGTTACTTACCATTCTCCACTGTGACTATATACAGTTTCATTCATTTTCAATAATTTCTTCTTAATTTTACCTTCGGGAGTGGAAGATGCTACGATTCCCTGTTCCAATGAATCACTCATCGAAGACGCATGATGCGGAGAGGACTCTCCCGTCAACGACGAACTACTTTCCTTGGTTCCCTCAATTTTTCTTCTCAATGCAGCACTCGATCGTTCAACCATTCCACTCAAAAAGTTTTTTCGAAGAGAAGTTTTAGTTTTCACACTCCATAACATGAGAAGAACTTGTTGTTCAGTTTCGAGAGAGGGTTGTGAAAGAATGGATTGATAATCGGATTGTGCAAATATTTTGGAAATGGCGCTTTCGGAAGACTTGGCCGGTAGAATGATTTCTAACCTTTCTTGCAAAGCATCTAATAAATCAATGAAGGTGACTTGTTTCGGGGAGATGGAGGAAGAACTGAAGAGAGAATGCATATCGAGAGGAATGAGTTGGTTAGGACCAACTTGGACAATGACTTTGGGGAGCAGTTGGGACGAAGAGGATGACATGCTGTTTTTTTTTGGGATTTGAAAATTGCGAACAGTGACAGATGCGACGGCCTTTACTTTTTGGAAAAGTGAAAGAATGACAAGTAAAAACCTGTTTAGAACTGTACCTTCGTGCCAATACAATTTCCTTAGATGTTGGTGCTCTCCAAGTTACTGAGCTTATCGAATGGAAAACAAGAGTAGCAACCCTTAATCAAATTATTAATAATTTAATAGAGCAAGAAGATCAATAAATTACATGAAAATGATACAAAGGAAGACGATGACCAAAGTGTTGAGAGAGAAGAGAATGGTGCTGGAAATGCTGATAGCATCTTGAATGCTGCAATCTGTACCACTCCATCCATAAAAGCATTGACACTTCTCTTTCGAACAAACTCCACCTTTGCAATTATGAAGTCCACATTTCGTCACAATTGAAGAACCTGCAGACGGAATGTCACAAGAGTCCTTTGTAGATGAAGCCAAGTAGCAACGGCACAATCCATTGAAGCAGACTCCTCTGTTTGCTTTCCATCCACACTCACTGTTGTAGAGAGGACCAAGATTGGTGGTAACAGGACATGGTGTTGGTGAGTCGTTAAAATATGTCGAAGATGAATTTTGACTGAAATTCATAACACCAGCCAAATTCACAATACCCCAACCATAATTATTGTCTGGAGCAGAAGCTTGGGATGCTGTTAACATGAACGCCTTTCTGACTTGATAAGGAGTCCAATCTGGATGCATTTGCATGGCCAAAGCAACACAGCCAGCAACAATGGGAGTTGAGAAGCTGGTTCCAGAATTGGTGGTATATTCGGATTCACTGTTTGGAGCCACAACATTGGTTTTAGTTCCACGTGCACAAACCTCTGGTTTGACACGTCCATCGTCTGACGGACCTCTACTGCTGAATACCGAAATACCACCACTAGAGTCCACAGATCCGACAGTAATCGAGTCAAATGCATCCGCAGGAGTCGAAATTCCTTCATTGCCTTCATTACCAGCAGCTAGAACCATCACAATTCCCTTATATCGAGAGGCAATGTTGGCCACTCGAGTCAGAGGTGATGTGACACCATTGTAATTCTTTTTGGAGTGCGAATACCAATCGGTGTAACCAAGAGAGGCACTCAATATGTCTGCTCCCATTCGTTCTCCCCACTCAATCGCAGCGATGAAATTGTCTTCTTCAGCCGGAGTTTCTGACCTTACATCCTCAGTTTTTGCCAAAAGCACAGACACACCTGGTGCTACTCCCATAAACGTATAGGGGTCATAACCTGCAAGCGCTGATAAACATTGAGTTCCATGATTACCAACAGTTGATGACTCGTTTTGTTCATTATCTGTATTGGTATCACCATACACAAAGTCATACTCTGCCACAAGCTTTAAATTTTTAAATGCTCGATGCTGTCGATGAAATCCACTGTCACAAATGAGAACAGTTACACCAGTTCCATTCAGATTGGGATTTGATTCTAAGAGAGGAATAACATTAATCTGACTTAATTGTTCTTGTGCTAATCCGTAAATTGTGTTTTGTTCTGTTGTTCTGGATGAAGATTTTGTAGTAATTATGGGATCATCCGTCACTTGTGTTCGTTGTTTGAAACTCGCAACTTGTTCAATGTGTTGAACAAAATCCATTTTTCGAATTTTAAGAACTTGATCCTGGGTGACATCTGCAACACTAATAGCATTCAACCAATTGCTTCGAACTCCAATTTTTTGATCGGTTCTCAGTATTGATTCAATTCTTTCAATATAGTCTTCATAAATAGGAATATCATGCACAGAATACAACGAAGACTCTGAAATAGACAAGTCCGATCGTTTTACATGAACGTTGTCGTTTGTTCCGAATTGTTGTGTCAATTGTTTTCTTCTTCTTGCTAGCGCTTTTTCAGTGATGGCCACATTGGTCGGAGAGGTAAAGGAAGAACTTTCTCTGACTGATCTGCTGTTCTTTTTACTCTCTAATGTATACATTCTCTTTGCAATGATGGTTGGTATTTGAGAAGAGGACTTTAAATCAGACACTTCTTGTCCTTTATCCTTGAAATAAATCCAAATCTTTACTTTGGTTGGATTCTCCACTTCCGATGCAAATACATTGTTGGCGTTTGAAATCATGCCCAATACTACTATTACAATCAGAGCAATGGATAACAATACAATCCCGTTATATCGTTTGTAGGTGATGAAACTGAGAAGAGGATGATGAATGAAACCACCCGAACACGAGTAGCATGAAGTGGTTGATGTTTTCATTTTTGTTTTGTAAAAACAACAGTCTGGCGATCATGCTTGCCCATGCAACTAACATTTTGGATTTGGAGAGGTAAGAGAAAAAGGAAATTCGCGTTTTGAGGCAAGAATCTTTTAAAAACAAAGATAATGATCTTGAAAGAGTTGGTTGGATATTGTTCGTTCAAGTGTTCATTGAGTCATTTTGACCAAGTGTGTCAATGTTTGGATACAACACACGGATTCATCCAAAACCTTCCACTTCAGGTCTAGAGCACAACATGTTTACAAAGCCATTTCGATATCCATAACATCGAGTTGAAGTATTTGAGCATTGAAAGGTGTTGGTTTTGCAAAGAATTGGCTTAACAGAGTTCCAAACGATGGTTCTGTTCTTCCAAAATCGCCATTAATAAATTCTTTGACATAGGTTCCTGCACTGGTGGATAGATCGAGAACTAGAGTGTGAGCATTTAGGAATTCCACACACTTGATGGAGTGAATGATCTTCTTACGGATGTGTAATGCTCTACGATGCAGTACTCTGAGAGGAGTTTTTTGACCAATTTCCAAGTCCTTAATACTTTCTAGGAATGATGTCATTCGTTGCTGTAAAGGTTCAGCAAAGTCTTGGTTGGAGGGTGAAATACTGTCTTCTTTCATCATGTCTGCTTCGCACCAAACCACACATCTATAATTTTTCTTCTTCTCTTCAGCACCTGCTTTCATCTTTTGACAAACTGTATTGTCAAAGTGAATTTGAATCGTATGGACTTGAATGGATCCATTCGCTTTTGTATTGATTGTGTTCTCAATTTCTTGAACTTGTTCCGTGGAGAAGTGGCATCTTCTTGGATTGTGAACAGCGAAAACAAATGGTCTGCCATTTCCTAACATTCTAACATTCTTATCTTCTCTTCCTGAGGAATCAAATTTATAAGAATCTGCAAGAGTATACTTCATGACGGGCTCTCCAATGTACGTATCCACGCTTCTGGTATTTTGTTCATCTTCCTTAGAACCTCTCATAACCCACGGTGATTGGGGTAGCCCGCGTTCCAACTTTCTATAATATCCTGATATGTAGATTACAGAATGAAGGCCGGTCACTGAGAGAAATTCCTTATCACATCCAATGGATGCTGCAGAATTCAAGTCCGATAAATCTGACCGCCAGCAGTCTGGAATTTCAGTTTGAATGACATTTTCCAATTGGTCCAAAGTATTCATCTTTAGCACCATTTGCAAATTTACGTTATTGGCACGATCATTCTTATTCTTTTTTCTCTTTTTTTTCATGGGAGACATCTTATCATCTTCAATTTGCTCCTTTTCAGAATTTACTTTCAATAAATACTCATCATTCAATTTAATCTCAATTAAAAGAGGAGCAGATTGTGGATTTGCTCTCAATGAGTCGTTACCAATTTTTCTCCGCATCATCTTTTCAAAAATGTCTGAAACTGTAGTTTTTAGCAGTCTTTTTCTATCCAAAGGAGGTTGAGATTGTAGTAATTGTTGCACTTTTTGTGAAGTCACTTGTCTGGAGAGTAAAAATTTAAAACAATGTTCTCTCATTTGAAAATGAGGTGAATATGAAAGAGAGACATGGAATTCGTTCAAAAATTGAGTGTCATATTCGTTGTAAACTTTTTCCATTTGTAATGGTAATCGTTGATGCAAGTATTCATCTTGAAAGGCTCCGAAACAAATTTTACAGCGGCCTGTTAACAATTTTACTGACGCTTCATCTTTGTATTTGCACTCATCACTCGAAGTTGCATGTACTGTATCTGATGTTCGGTGATGATCATCGGAGCAGTCCATTTTGACATTTCCGAGCAAGGCCTCCACTAATTCAGCTTCTGTTTTTGAATACATTGCAATATTCATTTTAAATAAATCCAAATAACATAAAGCACAACGAAGGCAGCATCCTAATTGGCCTGCCTTTTCAATAATTTGTTTGATATCTGCTTCAGGAAGTGATGTCATTTTTTGTTCGTGATTTTATTCACAAAACTCAAGTCAAATCATCTGGATCAAAGGGATCATCATTTTCGTTGTCTGAGTTGTTGTTCACAATCAATCTATCCATGTCCTTCGATATATCTTCATCGTCCTCTTCAATGATTTCATCAGCCAGTAACATGTTTTTCTTTTCATTTACTCTGTTTGCTGACCTTGTTGAAGAGGCACCTAAGGTAGCAAGGTTAGATGTTATTTTCATTTTAGATGCCATTTTGTAAACCTCTCTTTCAAGATATTTCAACTGATTATTGGTTTTTGCATTCTCGAGCAGGTTTTGATCCATTCGTTCGAAAGCCTCAAGAAAATCATTGCTTATATCGTATTCAGGAGACGACAAATAGTCGCTCTCCTCGTTTGAAAATCGCTTTTGAAATTCCTCTGCTCTTACATAATCGTCCATCGCCAAGCAAATAAGAATAATTGTGGTGCATGATTTACAAACACCATCCTTTTGATTCAGATCTTTGTAACCCTTCATCATTTCCAATGCGTTTTGAATGGCTTCTTCAAAGAGAGAATTTTGAAGAAGGAAGCTATTAAACGATCTAAACGTGTTCATGGCGTTGTGATACCCGCTTGTAGAAATGCTTTCAAGAGCAGTTTTGTAAAGTTCGACGGCTTGAGCAATTGCGCCTGATTCTGCCATTACCTTTGCGCCTTTGACCAAGGCTTCCCCTGCTCTATTTCCTTTTCCATCATCCACATACATCTGGAAAGCTTTACTGTATAACTCTGAAGCCTTATCAAATTCTTTCAGATCCTTACATAATGCAGCTGCGTTTTCAAAAGCCGATCCCGATTTGTAATATCTTGGTCCAATAATTCATTGTTTCTCTTCCGAAACACTTTCCAACTTTACTTACATTCCACATTTACCGAAACATTCACCACATTGAGAATAGCATTGGATCGCTTTTGCTGGCAGTTTTAATTGTTTGTATATTAAGGCTGCTTTCTCAAAAGCAGCTGCAGCAGAATCATAATCAGGCTTAAAAAAATTCATTAAGCTCTTGGAGGCACTAGAGTGGAAGCAATCATATATTCCATTCGGATTGGACATGATCATGAACTATATATTCCTGATACAAATACATACAGTTTCTTTCCTTCCTTCTCCAGTGCAAGAGCTTCCTTCTCTTTGTCGTTGCTCATTTTTGAGGTTGAAATTGAAAAAAAAAAATGACTGAACTCGACAAGGAAAAAAAAGAAATTCATCCATGTTTCGTACTCACATTGCCAACCCCTTCCAACATCACCAACGATCATCAAGTGAATGGATTTGAAGAAACCATCCGTGCCATTCAGAGAAAATTACAAAATGAAACATGGCAGGATGAAGATCAAACTTTAGGAAGACCTTTATCGGGTGGATCTAATGTGATCATGATTGTCAGTTCCGCTAACAATACTCTCACTATTTATGATTGTTATAATATTTCTATCAAACAAATATTGGCTGCCGAAGAACGCACACTTTTTTTAACAACAGAAGGAGAAGTATATTGTTGTTCAGCTGCTGGAAAACCTTTTCAAAAACTTGACATTGCTGACCCAATCGAGATGATATCGTCACGCCGCCAATTATTACTTGTGACTAAAGACAAGAGAGTTTATTTCAACGAATCTTACGATATGGCATTGGATAAACTTGTAAAGTGGCATGACATCGATTATCCTTGGCCAAAAGATCAAGAATATCCAGTCGATGTATCAGCAGGTTCAACACACATACTAATTCTTACTAATGTTGGAAATGTTTATGGCTTTGGGCAAAATTGTAAGTCATAGGATCAGACATGTCCACGATATTAACCGCCATGGCGAATTTAAATATACACTTATCCAAAAGATGGTCAATTAGGATTTGCTTATGGTGGCGTTGCTTATGCGAATGTTTGGCGAAAATCTGAAACATCACATATTACTGGAAAAATTATTAGGGTCTTCACAACCTATAATACGAGTTTTATTTTGACGAATGAAGGAAAGTTATATACTTGTGGCGACCGATCGTATGGTGCTTCTGGCTTGCCCAATGACACAAACACTCCAACTCATTATTGGACTCTTGTTCCCAAACTTGAAACCGAATTTGTGACAGGTTAGTTTTCTCTTTTACATGTCGACTCTTAAATCCAAAAGATGTGAGGACTGGATTGTTTTTTGTTGCGGTTTTATGCAAGTCATCGAATGTTTACATTTTTGGATATTTTAATTTCTATCAATTTGGTAGAATTGCTTCAACAAATGCAGGTGTAAACAGTACTCCCATGCTCTTGGATACTTTTGATCAAACAAATATTGAAGATATTGCTTGTGGAGGCTACAATTCTATGATTTTGACAAGTTTTTGAATCCAAGTTATGGCTAAAGTATTTCCTTAATTTTTTCATGCATGGCTTGATCAATAGAAAACAAAGAGGTGTACGTGGGTGGTGTGGGTAGAAATGCTCTCAACCCAAACAACTCTGGTGAATATTCCAAGTTAGAATGGGCTCAGATTTTAAAACAAGTTTACACAGGATGTACTTTTAGCAATTCCAACGTTTCCATGCATATGGGAAACACCTTTTACGCCTTGCACATTTCCAAAAACACATCTGTTTTGAGATTTTTCAATTTTAGAAATATTTGGAAAGTGGCAGATGTTATATTTCAGTTTGAATAGTCGACACGGCTTTATGAAAACTGTTACCGCCTATAACCATTAGTAAATTAACCTTTCACAACTCTTGGATTCAATCATTCGCTAATAGTCAAATCAACAAGCTCACTATTCACGGAAAATGGACATTTATTCGAAAAAAGGGTAAATTGGTCAGTGCCTTTATTTAAATCAACAATTTGAACAAAACAAACAAATCGAACAAAGTGCTGATCTTGCAAGCAAACACTCAAAGAGTGAAAGCCAGGGGAAAAGACCCAACGCACACAAGGTGGGGAAGACCCAACACACAAGGTGCTCAAAAACTAATTCTATGAGTAGTAAGGAATCGAAGAAGAATATTTCTTGCTGCATTGATATCTCTGTCAAAAATTGAGCCACATGATGGACAACGAAACACTTCAGATGATCCAACCGTATGAATATGTCCACAACATGAGCAAGTTTTGGATGTATACGCTTCGTTGACAATATAAATGTGTGTCCACGGATACTCTCTAGCTTTGTGAAGCAATCTTTGCTTGAATCTATAATGTGACCAAGTCAACATTTTTCTTGCTGTCTTGCTATTAATTCTCCTATGGAGTTTCTTTACCATTTTCTGAGTCTCAAACGAAGGAAGTAAGATCACTTGGTAGTTTCGACACAGCCACAAACACAGTTTCTTGTGTAGATCATCCACAATATTTCTAATCTTTTGTTGAATTCTTCTTCCTGCTCTCTTGTACTTGTATCTTTTGCAATGTCTGACTTCTGGTTGAGACCACTTCGATTGTAACTTGTCATACGCGCAACACAATCTACCAATTCTTTCGGCACCTCCTGAGCCCCATTTGGTTGAATAACCATTCAAATCAAAGGTGGTCTGAAATGTTCTTACTCCTGGATCCAATGCTACAACTTGTCCTGAATGTTGAGGGGCTTGGTTCTCACCCCTAATATCCAGTACTTGTGGAATACATAAATAATTAATAATGGTTCAACTTGTTCTTAATAATGATGGAATCGTACTGAAGCTCCACAGGCAAAGGTTCGGCGCTCTTGATGTTCCTTATAAAAGAATACAGTCCACTCTTTTTCTTCCAGTGCTTGCAGTGGAGAACGAAATGATCTTTTCTGTCTTTCTTTCGCCTGAAACGGATCATGAACTTGTCAATCGTTCCAGCTTTCTATTTTTCAAAGTTTGTTTTAAACGCCGTCAACAATTCAATAGCGGCAGCATCTCTTACGTCATAAGGAGTATTCACAACCCACTGATTTTCTGTCTGATAATTATCGTTGTTCACCACAAACGTTCTGAAATTCTTCTTGTTTTTCTTGACATCTTTGAAGTTGTGTGTAAATTCTAAACGCTTGTTGTAGATCCAACGAGCAGTTCCCATCCACTGATTCAATGTTGTCCTTTCTTGTTCATTGGGGTAGAGATGAATTTTCATTGATTTGTCCGCTTGTAATTTTTGGGGCGTCTTTTGATTCTTCTTTGCCTTCTTGAGCTGAGGTGGCTTTTTAGAGTTATCAAAAGCCACATTCTCTGTTATAGAGTGATGAATATTGGGTGGGACATCAAACACTGGCTTGGATTCAATCACAGTGAATTGAGAAAAGTTGAACCATCCGTCTGTGCGTCCCTTGTTGTTGTACTGATGAAACTCATGAAAGGAATCTCTAGCACATGCCCAAAGTTTATCCGATACTTGTTGCGTACTGCCAGAATGAAATGATGCTGTGTGCAAGAGATGGATTAGTAGGAGGATGAGTAGGTTCGTCCTCTCTACTTCTCTTCATTCGTTGAGATTAAGGTTGTTGTTGAGTTTTTTTTTGAAAACCTCAACTCTATCAGCGTTGAATGACTTGTTGAATTGAAACTCTATCAATTTGAATAACTTGATTCATTCTTTTCGTCCGAACTGATCATGGAAAAGTGAACGCTTTGACAATTCCTTATCCACCTCCAAAACTTTTGATTCAAAGAATGAATGAATGGTTCGTCAGGAACTGACTGTTGATGATTATATTTACTTGTTGAATTTGTAATAAATTGTGACTTTTGCTCTTTTATTTTAGTGCTGAGCAACTTAAAACCGATTATAAAAACAAAACCTCCAAAACGAACAAGGTTAGTAATAAAGCCGCGTCATCAGGACTGTGTTTTAGTGATGGTTTTTGAAAGAATTTGCTAGAATTGTTCTTTTGGCTTCAACGGTGAGTTAGTGAAAAATTATTGATTATAAATAATATTGCACACAAGGCTTCTTGAATTGTAAACTGCAACTCATAGATGTGAAATTATTTCTACCCTCTATCAATTATCTTCATGATTTTCCATACCCAATTCTCTACGCCAAGCTTTTGCTCTTTTCTTAAACTCTTTGGTTACAAAAGAAATGATTTGTTTTTCCTTACTCAGGTTGGGGTGCAACAGCCGTCCCATCCTTTCAATAAAAACAACCTTGTTCTCTGGAAAGTCAAAATTTACAACAAGCTCAAGGTGTGATATCGATATCCCTCGAGCCATCAAATCGCTACAAACAAGTACTCTAAATGCTCCTTTTCTAAAGTCGTTCAAAATAAGCTCCCTTTGTTGACAATCAATATCACCATGGAGGACATTGCAACAAAATCCAACATTATTCAATTCTTCACAAAGCATCTCTGCTTTTCTTCTCGAATTGCAAAAAACCATGGTCAACATATTGGAGTGGTCTTGAATAATTTCCTTAATAAGTGTCCATTTTTCTTCTTCATTCGTCAATTCGAGAAATTGATACTTGTGTGGTTGATTGGAAGGCAACAATGGTACTCTCAAAACCTTGAAATTTTCATTCGTAAATATTTTCGCTATTCTCATAATAAGTTTTGGCGAAAATAACGAAGAAATAAGAATACTTTGGCAATTGTTGGATAATTTCTTAAAGATCAGATTGAGCTCATTGCCGAATTCTCCTGCTAATAACTGATCTGATCCTTCAAATATAACTGTCTTTACATGAGACAATTCTAAATAATATTTTGATTTGTGAGCTATTCGTCCTGGAGTACCAATTAGCACTCGATATGACTTGGCAAATTCTGCTGAATAGAATGTGGTCCATCCACATGTACTATTACCAATGGATATGTCACTCATGTATTCACAGAGAGATGTAAAAAATAGTTGAATTTGATAAACCATTTCTTTTGTGGGGCAAATTATCAAGCACTGTACTTGGTCAGGTGGCGCAGTTGAGGAATCATCCAAGCCCTTGTTCAACACTCCAATAATGGAGGCAATGGTTTTACCTGAGGCACATGGGCCTTCAATGAGTATATTACGGTTTTTTTGATCACAAATGGATTGAATAATATCCCTTTGGAATTGTGTTAAATGTTCAATACCCCATCCGTAAATACCACGTTGTAGATTTTCCTTAAATTGATCAATAAAATCATCATTCTCAGCTATTCCAAGTGTTGTTGGTTTCACGCCAAGCTTCGTTTCTTCACCAACTCGATCGGAAAAGTATTGTACCAGTTGATTATTTTGATTGGCTTGTGAAAAAATAAAAGGGTCTAAATTTTTCAGTGTTTTAGAAGCGAAAGCAAGAGCCAAGCCATTCTCTTTAACTGCTTCCAGGACTAAATCTCGGTCGTTGTGATGTGCTCGTGTTAAATGCTTTAAATTGATACCATTTGTTGCAACAGAAAAACTAATCACTTTTTCATCATTTCTAATATGAGCTGGCAAATCTTCAAGCGTGATTATCTTGTGTTTCAGCAATGCTCTATATTGACGTTCTTTCAAAAGATTGTAAAAATACATATAAACATATCCTTGCTTGAAATTTGCAACAAAATATTCCAAACAAAATTTAGGATTGTCAGATAGAATGTCCTCATCGTAAATAAGAGCATTGGGATAACTAGTCTTGAGCTGTGTGACAACAGAACACTTGTTCTGGTCTTTTAGGTAACCAAAATTGGAGAGCCATCGTGTAAGACTGCCCACTACAAATGTCTCCATACGACTGACCTGCAAGATCAGCTGGGAAACAAAATTTTCAGAATCAAGATGATGATATTCCAGTTCGAAATGTCGTTCAACTTCTAACACTCCCTTTCCGCCGCTGTTTTTCAGAAGTACCAAGTACTTGTCAATTTTCCTAGTTTGATATTCACCAATCACAACACAATCGCGATCTCTGACTTGCCATTGAGATATTTTGAAAATGCACATGAATGGATGCAAGATTGCATTGTTGAGCTTGGGAATATACGGGATTGCATCATTGCTTGGGTAAATCTTGGAATGTTTCATATACATCCGAACATGAAACGGAATTTTAAAATTCAATTGTTTTTTCTCGAAATCATCCAGTTGTTTCATAATTAATTCCACATGATGAGCATAACTGTGTTTGGAATCATCATGACAAAGTCCTTTATGAATACTGTTATGGAGAGCCTTCTCTTCAAATTGTAATCTCCAAACCATTTCTCGTTCTTCTACAGCATTACAGGCTTCATGGAAAGTGAGAGAGACTTGTTCAGATCTCTTCCGATCTGACTCCTCTAAGAATGAAAATATTAATTCAACAATTTCCTGCACATGAGCGATGAACATTTTTTCGCCTGTGATTGATTGCAATGATTTAAGAGGACACCCGAAAGGCTAACGACGAAACCGATCGAGCATTTTTAATTTGTTTTTTAATTGTTGCTTTTAAGCCTCATACTATATTGAGGAAGTTATTAAAAACCTTTTAATATTAAAGTGCGATTTTTGAGAAACAAATGGTTTGGAAAACTTTGGACATGTCTCTTCTTCATTCCAATTCATAAATTGATCATCGATATTCTCAATCAAAAAATGCTTCGTTTTGCTTCCAATTGCTGTCGCAGCAGTTTGCAGCAAGGAGGCTTGAACCATAGGCTTGTAATAACGAGTACTAGTAATCTTCTTGCTCGTGCAAAATCCTCATTCGGAATGATGGATATAAATTATTTGCATGGCAACAAACATGCTTTTGAGCCTCATATGACAAACTCCTCATCAGCCTTTTACTCGATGAATTTCAAATCTCGTGCCAATATCGATCATAAATTGGATAAGAACCATAACGAAAGCACAGCCACATCAAACAAAGAATCTAATAACCTGAACTCAATTTCAAAAGAACAATCAGAAACCAAAAAGACTCCTTCACTCTCAGTCATAAAAAAGTTAATTAATCTCGCAAAACCCGAAGCAAAACTGTTAGCTGTTGGAATGGGATGCCTTGCCATCAGTGCAGCTGTCTCATTAATTTTACCAATAGGAATTGGTAGACTGGTTGACACACTTTCATTGCCTCCCGAGCAAGCAATTAATCAATTAAAATTTATAGGATATGGACTAACTGGATTGTTTCTAGTCTCGGGTGTAGCTGTAATTGGACGATATACTGCTGTACAAACTGCAGGTCAAAAAATTCAAAAACGATTGCGTCAAAAGTTATTTGATTCATACATGAGACAAGATATTGAATTTTTTGACAAGACCAAAACAGGAGAATTAGTGAACAGACTTTCAACAGACGTAGAAGTGGTAAGCGAAACAATTACACACACCATAATTTCTGGTGTGCGTTCTCTCGTAGAAGCAACTGGTGGTATAATTTTATTATGCGTGTTGAGCTTTAAATTAACTGGAGTGGCAGTTTCAATATTTCCGTTGTTAGGAATTGGCGCAGTGATTTATGGTAAATACGTAAAGAAGCTATCAAAGAATTATTTGGATGAACTAGCCAAATCCACAGCATTTGCACAAGAAAGAATTTCAAATATTCGTACAGTGAGATTGTTTTCTGCCGAGAAAAAAGAAGTGAAAAATTATGAAGACAAAATTGATCATGTATTCAAATCAGGTCGACAACTGGGTATTGCCCGAGGTGTATTCTATTCTGCGGTGAATTTTGGAGCCAACATGTCCATGCTTGCCGTATTAGCATTGGGAGGTTTTGATGTCATTAGTGGAGCTCTCACTGTTGGAAAGCTTACAAGCTTTTTGTTGTACTCCGTTTACGTTGGAATTTCCTTTACAAACCTGAGTCAAGTTTATGGAGATGTCATGAAAGCAATGGGATCTAGTGAACGAATTTTTGAACTCATGCACCAAGCACCACGTATTGAAATTAGCCGAGATCATGGAAAGAGACTTGATCAAGTGATTGGAGCCATCTCTTTTGAGAATGTAACCTTTGCTTATCCTCAAAGAAGCGAAGTTCAAGTGTTGAAAAATTTCAATTTACAAATCAAACCAGGAGATGTAGTTGCTTGTGTGGGATCGAGTGGAAGCGGAAAGGTACGTTCTTTTTTTTTACTTAAACGAGCTCATTTTGAAAAGTCAACAATACTGAGCTTGCTGAGTCGATTTTATGATGTGAACCAAGGAAAAATTACCATTGATGGTGTTGACATTCGAGAACTTGATGCAACATGGTTAAGAACACACATTGGAGTTGTAAGTCAAGATCCAGTGTTATTCGATATGAGCATTGAAGACAACATTCGATATGGAATTCCGCAAGGGGTTGAGGTCACGAAGGAACAAATTATTGAGGCTGCAAAAAAGTCTAATTGGTATGTTTTGTTCTTGCATATAGAATGTACATATTCATCATTCGTCATGTACTAGTCATGAATTCATAATGTCCTTCCCAGATGGGTATGCCACAAAAATTGGTGAAAGAGGTTCTGCTCTTTCCGGCGGACAAAGACAGAGAATCAGTATTTGTCGTGCCATATTGTTAAATCCAAAAATTCTTGCTCTTGACGAAGGTATGTAACAACGTTACAATCGTTACATTTTTTAAATCTCAATCTGTGACGTACTTATAGCAACATCTGCGTTGGACAGTGAAAGCGAGCACTTGGTTTCAAAAGCGCTCGAAGAAGTGATGGCTGACAGAACTGTTATTATTATTGCCCACAGACTGAGCACTATCAAGAATGCAGATTACGTTGTCGTTTTAGATGAAGGAATGATTAAGGAAACTGGTACCCATGAGGAATTGCTACAAAACGATAAGGATGGTATTTATCATCGACTTGTAACAAGACAAATCGTTGGAATGAAAAATTAAAGTGTCGTGGAGCGTCAAACAACAGCTTGGCACTACAAAATCCATTCAAAATTCACCTCAATTTCACCTTTGTGCTGGTATCGTAAACAGAACCTTTAAATGTGTTTTCAAATCCGTTAATGACACAGACTGACATTTAAGAATGTTAACATTTCTACAGTTAACGAATGAAACATGTTGACGAATGATGACAACAGTTGCAAAGTTGGAAATCCCCATTCCGTTGTTATTAATCCTCAAATCAACTTCTGCCGTTGGAACTTGTATGTTTCAGTGATTCCAAAACTCATTTATCAACTTGCCAACCTTCCAGTTTGAACCTGAGCTCTCGCAGACAACATCCATCCACAAAAAAAAGAGCAATGATTGTCTTTGACCAAGCCAACAACAACACCGTGTCCAATAGTACTACCTTGGCCAATACGACAACATGCAGTTCAACACTGTTTGAACTTCCCTATGGTCTCAGCCGAGAAGAAAATCCGAGTGTCCAAGATGAGATTTGTCCCGATACATGGATCTCATTTGCGTTCATGATGGCATTCCTAGTGTTTTATATTCTTCTACTCTCAATTTCATCATTTGGAATTATCTTTAAGCGAAATTCTCGACATGTTTCCGCAAGAAGCCTCTCTCACATGTTCCTTACCATGTTTTCAAGTTTTGGAATCATCATGACCATGGCCTTGAGAATTATTATAGGTCGAAAGGTCTTTCCATGTGCATGCTATGTATTGGGCTTCTTTCTTGGACCAATGACCACTCTTCCCACGACGTGTCGTTGTTTGAAATTGTTTTTCATGTACAAGTTGAATTTGGCTAAAACAACACTCTTTCGAAATTCATCACCCGAGTTATTGGAAGAGTATGAGACTTCTCTAAGTATTGTTGGAAATGGAGATCAAATTGTATTGACACCAACGAGAGAAAAAAGAAAATCCTCTATTCTTTCGGAGAGAGTGGATTTAAGGCGGTTAAGTGTGAAAATTAATGTTTCAAGTCCAACCAACCCAACAACGCCTTTGGAGCACACTCCAACTGGTAGTCCCTCTCCAACGACGCACAAAAGTTCTGTTTTGTGTACAGAGCTCTCGTCTCCATCCTCACCGGAAGCAAATCATACACTCAGTGTCAAAACTTTGCGATTTTATCTATTCATGACCAGTTACAAATTCATTGTCATGGTTTATGTCATGGTGTTTATTTTTCAAGTGTTGTTGTGGTTAATATGTGGTGGAATTGAAGAAGCCATATATGCAGCCAATCGACAAGGAGCAAGAATTTTTGTCATTCCTGGTCTATTGGAATTTAAGACAGGATGTGTCACTTCAACGAATGTTTTGATCATTATTTTAGTTGAAGCTGTGTTTTACATTGCAGCAGAAGTTGTGTCGTTGATATTGGCCGTTCGCTCCGATCGAGATACTTGGAATATTAAGAAAGAAACATTGGCCTATGTGGTGATTCAAGTAGTTACAGTAGCACTGTTTTTAATTGCCTCTGTCATTCCACTCTATGCTAAATTAGCAGATTTCTTTATTCCATATGGATTATTTATTGAGATTGGTTTGTGTTTGGAAATTGTGGTGTGTGTACTCTTGCCAGTGATTTATGATATAAGGCAAGATGCATCGAAGAATGCACATCAGTCAAGCCATGAGAAGAATACAGGCGGGGAAGAAAAAGTCACCAACGTGGAACAATTATTGAAGGAAAAGAAAACGTTTGACATTGTGTTGGATTATGCACGAAGAAGTTATTGGTAAGTTTCAATCCGTCTTCACTGCACGATGAGGTTAGTAACCCTTAATAACCTGCTTTTCTCGGTGTTTGAATACAAAACACTACACACTCATCCCGTTACTATTCCTAATGGACCCCAAACATTCATGCATTCGAAAGTCCTGAGGCTGTGTTATGTTGGAAGGAAATTCAGACCTTCAAAAGTACTGTGGCCAATCTCTCAAAACGTAAAGAAATAGCAACAACCATAATTGATGCATTTCTTAAAGTGGGAGAACCACTTGAAATTAACATTTCACAAATTGAAAAGGTTAGAAAACGTTTACTTTCTGAAATTGAAAAAGAGGAAATTCCTATCGAGATGTTTCAAGAAATTGAGACGCATTGCTTGGCTGATTTGATGGACCTCTTGACGCGGTTGTGTCATTCCAATGAATATATTCGAAATTTGATAGAGTGATTCAAACCTTCACTGTTGTGGAAAGAGTTATTGTTGGAGACCTTTTGACCATGTTTCAATCACATTGTACTTCATCGTGTTCACATGTTTATGCACACCTTCTTGATGATGGAGGCTTCAACAATTTTTTCAAAGAAGAATTTTTGTGTTGAAAAAATTCACTCAAAAACAACAATAACGCTCACACATCATGCCAGCCCAAAAGTTCAATTTTAACTTTGCTCCTGCTGAAGAGGAAGACTTTGATGAAGAAGGAGAAATTGAAGAAGAAATGATCGGTGTAAGTATTTCATCGTTGTGATTGTTGTTTTTTGTAACGGTCTTGTTCTATCGGCTTAACGGTTTTTGTGATGATTCAATTATTAAATCATCAATTTGATATTTTCATCATCGCCGCGCATGATAATTACCGTTACATCAATGATGAATCAACAACAAACAATAACCACAGCACCCAATGCTCATGAGAAAGGCTACCGATGAGGAATTAAAGCAAATTGAACAAAAGGAGCTTGCCAACTATCCAACCAAGACTCAAAAGGTTATTGGTGTTCTCAAGAATCTCCAACAAGATTACACGAATTTGGAGGATGAATTCGAGAAGGAATACCAAAAACTCAGAGAAAAGTATAATGCTCTCCAAGCTCCAATCATTGTAAGAAGAAATGAAATCGTTTTGGGTGAAAAGGATGCCACTGAAGAGGAATTGTCCAAGGTTACTTTGGCTGAAGTTTCTACTGAAAAGACTGAAGACATTAAGGGAATTCCAGATTTCTGGTACAAGGTTTTGTTGCACTCTGAAATTAGAGCTGAGTGGATTCAAGAAGAAGACTTGGAAGCTCTCAAGTATTTGAAGAATATTGTGATTGAGGAATTTGGTGCCAAGCCAAAGGAACCTGCAGCAACCACTGAAGAGAAGAAGTCAGAAGAAGATGAAGAAATTGACTTCAAATCCAATCCTGGTTTCAAGGTCATCTTCCAATTCAATGAAAATCCATTCTTCTCCAATGAATCCTTGGTCAAGACCTACTATTATGAAGATGCTGAGAACGAAGATATTGCTGCCAGCGAAGGAACTGAAATTCAATGGAAGGAAGACAAGGACTTGACTGTCAAGATCACAACCAAGAAACAAAAACACAAGTCTGGAACCAGAACTAGAACTATTCAAGTTAAGGAACCAAAGGATTCCTTCTTCAACTTCTTCAAGAACCTTGAGGAAGAAGTCCAAAAGGAAGAAAATGAGGAGAACATGATGCTCCAAGAATTGTTGGAGAATGAAGCTGAATTTGGTGATCTTTTCAAGGACAGAGTTGTTCCTAATGCTGTTAAATATTTCTTGAACACTGCTCTCCCAGAAGAGGGTGATTTTTCCACTGTTCCAGAAGTTACTGACATGCTTACTGCTCAGGTTAATGCAGCTCAAGAAGGAACAGAGCCACCAAAACAAGAATGCAAACAACAATAAACGGTGTGCTAAATAATTTATTACATCTGATTTGTAGTTCGTCATGTTTTAGGTCGCTACCAAATGTTCAACAACAGAAACAAGAAATTTGTGTGAGACTAAGTTTCTTGTTATTTCTGTATATTTTGATGGTCTTTTTGTCCAAATTAATCGTCACCTTCGTCCTCATCTTCCTCATCGTCACTGTAAAATACCTTGTCGACAGCTTTTGTCTTTTTCTTGTCTTCAAGGATATAAATTTGATTAATATCAACACCTAACTCCTTTGTAAAGTATTTAACAACTTGTTCAGCAAAATCTCCCTGAATTTCAATGCTGAGTTCAGGCTTTTTCACAATGCTACATCCACAAGCAAACATTTTACCAAATTGTTTCACAACATCCTTCAAAACTTTTTCTTCTCCTTTAAAAGCGTCTTGCATGAAAGCATCAATTCCAGTTACAAGTGTCAAACGTTTTCGCTTACTTCTTTTATCAATACGAATGAGTAATTCTCTATTCTTTAAAACACTCGAAGTTTTTGAATTATCGTCAGAAGATCCAACATTTCCTTCTACAATTTCCTTCACTTCTCTTGCAACCTTCTTATCAACAGTTTTGTCTTTGTACTTGTCGTGGTCTCTTAATTCTCTCAATTCCTTCAACTTTTCAGGAAATGCTTCCAGCCACTTCTCACATAATGGCCATTTATCAGAAAATTCGCAATATTCCATTGGATAGGTACATTCAGGACAATAGATAACTTTCTTTGCTTCAATTTTCTTGACTACAATTTCTTCAGTTTCTTCATCACTTTCAGCAGTAGCTTCCTCTTGTTGTTGCCTTTCTTTTTCGGTCTTTTCCAGATCTTCGGCGAGTACTTCAAGCTTGGTTTGCTTGTTCCGGTCAAACTTTTTCACGGGTTTTTTTGCTGGCATGATGATTGTGTGTTCGTATTTTTTTGTTTTAAAAATCAATATTTTTACGAAATTAAGAGTGACACACAGTGGTTTAACACGGTTGTTCTTCAACACCTTTAATTTAATACAAGTTTCTTTAAATTCCAAAACAATTATTATCATGGATCATTAGTTGGTGATTGTTACATCTGTACATTCTCATGGATCACTTCACTTTCTATTGTTTGCCCGATTGCTTGGAAATTCGAAGGAGAGGCCCAAAAGGAAAAAAATTGTCTCATTCGCTTCTTCAAACAGCCTCGAAAATCACCGTTCTCTCTGAAGCTGATAATTCCTCCAATTATTGATCACACCATCCTCATCATCAAGAGCGAATTTGAAAAATTATTCGGAGTAGAGTTTCAACTGTTTCTTCTGCCATTAGCATAAAATAATTTATATAGCTCATCATCATCACTGTTTTATATAAATTAAATCCAACAATTTCATCAACCAGTAACAACACTAGTCATGGGTAATTGTAATAACACAAAACAATCCTCTTCCTCATCGTCCGGAAATAGACAACAAAACAAGTTAAATGTACAGGGACACGGTGAAATTACGGAAACAAAAGTGACTTATAAAATTTTGATTCTTGGTGATGCAGGTAGGTGGAATGAAGATTTTACATTCGTGTACTATTTGTGTTAAATTATTTGATTCGAATACTGACATGATGACGACCTCTTCGTTTGGGGTCATTAACATTCGTGACAAATGAAAAAAACTATTGACTGCTGTCATTGTGTTTCTTCTAATGATTCCATTGTTAATAATGTGATCGACAGGTGTCGGAAAAACATCCTTGGCAATCAAGTGGGTAGATGGATCTTTCCAAGAAAATTATATTGCAACTATTGGTGTGGATTTTAAAAAGAAGGATGTAGTGGTTGACAATCAACTGATAAAGTTGCAGATATGGGATACGTAAGTGTCAATGGTTGATGACATTGTTTCAATACACATTTTGGACTTTTCACTTGGTAAATGCACTTGTTGACACCTTTTAGCGCTGGCCAAGAGAGATACAATACCATTCAAGCAACCTATTATCGGTAGGTTATTATCATTCCAATATGTGAACACTTGACACTCATTACGTTTATTTCCTCACATATAAAACAGTGGATGTGCTGGCATTATTGTAGTTTATGATATTACTGATGCAGACTCATTCCAAAATGTGCAGAAATGGATTGGAAACATTGAAAAGAATACGTCACCAAATGATGACATTACAATACTTTTGGTTGGAAATAAGGCAGATTTGGAGGATGAAAAAATGGTGAAAACTGAAGATGCCAACAATTTTTGTAAAAATACATCCTGTGTTGTAGACAAAGGTAGGTTGTTACAGTAATTATCCATCAATTTGACAAATTGACGTGTGAATAGTTTTTGAAGTCAGTGCAAAGACAGGACTAAACGTAAAGTAAGTACATTTTTAAAATTGTGAATTTCAATTGAAGTTGTATGTATCACTTCAGTAATGCATTCATGGCCCTTGTAGAAGCAATTCACAACAAGAAAAAAAAGAAATAAATTTCTGTCTGTTGGTGAATCGAGTTTTTGGGAGAATTCATGAAAAAAAATGAACGCAACGCCAACCAGGTCTCATTCCTTGCATGATGACACATACTTGTATCTTTATGATATTACTGAAGAATTTTCTTGGGGTTCAACTCCTAATAAGAAATATTTGAAAGAAAACTCAGTGAAAGTTGGTCCGATCCCATTTATAGAATCCGAAGAGAAGATTGAAAAAATTGAAATAACTGTTCATGATTTATATGTTCTCACCACCACAGGAAGGTTGTTTCATTCCTCAGTGAAAAACAAACTCGTGTCCACCCATGCATTAAATGAATTAAAGTTGCCGAACCAAGCAGACGACGAAGCCATTGCAGACATCAGTTGCGGAACACATCACTCAGTACTATTGACAACAAATGGAAAGGCTTATGCCAAAGGAGTAAGTTGAACTAGTTGGATCTCTTCTGTAAATGTGTTGAACTCATTCGACCATGAAAATATTCCTCATCAACAAATTGGTAAAAGACAAACTCTCATGGCCAACTTGGAATGAATGATATGACAGCTCGAGCCGATTTCACGTTAATTCCTTTTTTTGAATCCCTTTGCTCCAAGGTTAGATCTTCAAAATATAACTCGCTCGTGGATTACCCAGTTAAAGTGGTTTCAGGAGCCGTATTTACAATGTTCATGATGAAAAGTGGAAAAATATATTCATGTGGATCCAATTATTATGAACAACAAAGTCTTCCTGCTTGTGCATACATTATGAAGCCAACTAGACTTACTCATTTCGAAAATCAACCACTGAAAGTAGATGCTATATATTGCGGAAGATCACATTCAATTTTCTCTGTGCAAGGAAAGCTTTTCAAGTACGGAACAGAATCCCATTCTATTGATAACATTAAGTTAACAAGTCCGTTTGATAGCATTGAAAACGTTTTTGGTGGCCAAACCAACACCGTGCTCATTTCAAAGTTCAATAACCTGTTTTTAAACAACACCCAATCATCTCTGGAAATTCCCTCTCAAAGAGGCCCAACAAATGTCTACGATCCTATCAGAGGTTTGCTCCCAACTAGTTATGGAGAACTTTTGTTCAACAAGAGAGGATTAATTGAATTAACAAATCCTGATAACCTTCTCCTTCAAGTAGATAAGGATGTGCAATTTTTTGGCAAGTTCAATAGTTATATAGGATTTGTCAGTCTTAAGTACATGGCTCCCACTAGTTCTAACAAAGATTTTAGATTTACTGCTTCACTGTTGGAGAAGTCAAAACAATTCAAATATGAAAAAGATGTCATCAAGGTGGGTGACAGCGAGGTTATTGCGTTTTTGCCTTTCATCAAAAAGAAATACCCTCCTCTATTTGATTTATTACACAAAAGCAATTTACATGTTTCTGAACATTCAGCAGGTATTATTCAAAATCTAGTTGACTATTGCTTCACAGAAAACACCTCATTTGTCAGCAATTACAGCTATGAAATGATTTTAGAACTGGTCTACTTTTTAGAGATGACAGCTTTTAATAATGATTTTTTCATTGCCCATTTACTGTTTGCCATTAGAAATCAATTATCAAACCTGTACAATGAAGAACATTGTGGCCAAAACAAAGAGAACCAAAACAAATATGTACAGTTATTGTTAGACCAAAAAATTTTCGGGAAAGTTCTTCCGGTAATGACATCCATGATTATTCCAACTCCCTCTGTTACTGATACAAAACACTTTGGAAATTTGCAGGCCATCCAATCTTTGTTCGATGATGAAGAAACAAGTGATATTATACTTGTATTGGATAGAAAAGGAACAAAGAAAATTCATTGCCACAAAACACTGTTGGCGTCTCAAAGTTTGTTCTTTGAAGCCTATTTCAATGGACAGTTCTCTGTTTCAAAAGAACTTAATGTTTTCACAGATCAAGAGGATCCTGTTCTAGAAGACGATGATGAGTCTAATATCAAAACTCGATCTTTGGAAAAAGTGTTCATGATGTTTTATGGTATTGAATCCGACGTGGAGAATGAGTTAGTAATAAGCACATTGGACTATGCTCATAAGTACAGCTGTGAAAGAATAGTCTCTGAATGTGTAAGCCTGTTCGAAAGATCATTGAACGAAGATTCATTTGAAATGGTGAAAAATTGGTTGGAGCCCATAGATTCAAGTGAGCGAACTGATGTGCAAAACATACTTTACTCTACCACCACGAAATGGAACTCCAAGTTACCAAGCAAACATTTTGCATTCAATAACAAGGAAGTGAGAAAGAAGATGAAATCATTCATTGAAGCGTTGGGCGGATTTGTTGACAACAAATTTAATCCTGACACAACTACTCACTACATTTGTTCGGAACTCCCGTCACTGGACGATTTGGAGTTCGTTGCTGCAGCTGCTGGTAATTGTTCCATTCTGATGGAGTCGTACATTAGTTCATGTGTGGAGAGTGGCCAATTCTTGGAAGAAGACTCGTATTTAATTGAGGCATCTTCCGCTTCCAATGAAAAAGTGTTTCAATTACTCACACTTAATGCTACGCAAAGAAAAACAGGTGAAAAGATATTTGCTTCACTTCGATTTCATCTCGTGTTTGGCAACAAATCCAATGAAAGATGTTGGGCGAAGATTCTAAAGAGTGGAGGTGGACAAATTGCTAAAAACGATCTTGCTTATTATGCTACCCACGTTGTTTGTGACTCTGAAATGTTACAAGAATCACTTTCAACACTCAAAAACGCTTGTTTGTTGAAAGTACAATCACCAATCGTGGTCAAATGCAAGGATATGGTGGATATTATTTTAACCCGAAATTGGGACAGTTATTCCTTCAATCCTGACCTCTTAAAAGAAACTAAGAGGTCCAAGAAGTCGCAAAATTAATTCATGTAAATGACCCGTTGTATTATATTGTTTGACATTAGTAATGACGTAATGTGTTAATTGAATGTGTTAATTCCAAATTTTTCGTTGCATCAGCCCCGAACTAAAAAATTTGAACTTATGCAAGAGAGACATCGCTCAGCCCAAAGAAAAATGCCTCGAAAACAACAAAACAAAAAGATTCCTTTCGCTAAAGGCTTTACTCGGCCGAACAAGAAGGAAATCAAACAAGCCATCGCATCCGACGAAATTTATTATGATTTTGAAATGAAAAGGCCATCCGATGGAAAAACTTTATTTTATAAACCAGTTCCAGATCCCACCTCTATCGATGATTGGCTGGCTCAGTATGTAGAGGATAGAGATAGTTATGACGAATGGATGGATTTGAGAAAGAGAGTTTGTAAGAAAAATACGATTCGGTTGGAGAAGGATATTTGTTTATTATGGATTGAAAGAGAAAATACCAATCATCCCAGAAAACAGTTCTTGGTGCATTTAAAAAGATTTATTGAAGCATTTTATTATGGCATTCATGTTAGAATTTTAGATCCATTCATGATTAAGAAGTCAAAAAAACAATATTATATCGAATTTAATGACGTGAAATATAACATTTCATCAAGAAGATGCCACGAGTACGATGAAGACAAAGCAGGAGAGAATGAGATCCAATTCAGAGCTGCTGATGTGCTTGTCCCAATTCATAGATTGAAAAAAACAATCGACACTGAGATATCTTGCATATGTGGAGTCACCATGGAGGACCTTTATATTGGTAAAAAGGACAGCTTTACTTGTGGTTTAGCACAAGGAGGCGATCATATTGGCGTGTTTTCAATGTGTAGGTACAACCCAGAATTTAGAAATGAAGACGAGAACTCTACAGAAGAAAAGGATATTTCAGTTGAATGGGATAGTGATGGTATTGTTGACGAGGAAAAGCTAAGCTCAAATGATTTGATTATCATTGAGAGATGTTGCAAAATTGTTGTACATGAACTTGCTCATATGCAACAGATTGGGCATTGTGTGTGTAAGTTTTTATATGAATATTTGTGACTCATTTCAATTGGCTCTGAAATAGTTTTTGATTGTATTATGAATGGTAGTGGATGGTTGGAAGAAGATTATCGCCAGTCCATTCAACTGTGCCCAGTGGATTTGAGAAAATTTCAAACTCTCATGGATTTCGACATTCTAGAAAGGTACAAAGCCTTATTAAGATTTTACAAGGCATATCGTATCAACGACGCTGCCTTGTGGGTGGAGGACATGATACAATATTTGACGAAGCGTCAACAAGAACTGCAAGACAATGATATCCATGAAGGAGCCCATGATAATTCTTGCTCCGCAAAGAAAACAAAAATCAAATAATACATAATCTTCAAAGTGATTCATATCACAATTTATTCAATGGATTCGCGTTTGGAAAAGCCTACTAGGCCAAATACACAATCAGAGCTCTCACAAACATGACCATCAAAGATAAGGTCGAAATGATATACACAGCGAAACGCAAATTCACAAGATTGAAGGTACAATGCACCAAACTATGCAAACAACGGAATACCACAAAAATCCAAGAACATGTCACATAAAAAGAATCAACCTGATGAGTCACAAACAAGTATACTGCCATGGCATAGAAAATGACTGGAATTTCAAAAAGGTTTTTCAAATTATCAGACGGATTGGACACTGAAGGAGGTGACATTTGTGCCAACATGGATGGAGTTAAATCATTAGGATTTACTTTCGAGGAAATGATGAGTCTAAGTCTACGAATGTACATGTAGATCCAAACGATGAAAGTGAGACCAATGGTGGCCAACATGGGACCAAAGATTGCATTTTGATTGAATTCGGAAGGGTATTGTGAAGATGACATTTTTTCTGTGCCTCGCTCGTACATGATCGGGCTGTTACTGCATCAATGAACGTTGAGCCTGCCTGCAAGGTTTTCATTTCAAGTTCCAAAATGATTTTCCATCCATAACGGAGGGACTTGCGTAAAAAATGTTAATAACGACTAAAACGCTCACAAAGAATAATAGGGAGAGAAATGATGATCATCCGTTCAATCTCATCAATAATAGCTTTTCAATTTTACAAGGATTAGAGGAGAATCCGAAAGAAGAGAAAATCCATCGCACTACCACAACCTCCACACGGAAGAGTAGGAGGAGATCAACATATCATCATGACGATTCATCATGCACACTAATATCCCACACCAACAGAAGTAGCAACACTTGTATTCAGAAATCATCCAATACCTCCTTCCTTCGAAATTTTGTAGATCTACCTTCCGAAATTTTGATTTACATTTTCGATTTTATAGTTCCCTTATTTCATATTCTGTCACATCATGCGAAGGAATTCATTACTCATGAAGAGATACTCATTAGATTGATTCCTCAATTTTTTAAAATTCAAATTTCTCCACCCACTGCTCCCACCTACTATCAGTATAATCGAGAACAATACACCAGGCTTTTCATGGAAAATCAAGTACCAATCTATGCTGAGCGTATTTTGAGTTTCTTATTGGAAGATGTGATTGAAAATTCTTTTGTTAATTTTCTGCTGATTAGCAAGCAATGTTTCTATCGAGTTTTTGTGACAGAATGTTCAGAGAACGATTCAATTCGCTTGCTATGGGAGTTTTTAGGAAGCTCCATTCAGAATTGTCGTGAGATTGCAGAGACGATATTGTTACAAGCACCTTTCAAGCCAAAACCTTGGTTGTATTTGTTTGGAGGTACACAACATGCTGCAACTACGAACGATTTGATTGCAAGTGTCATTAAGTTACAAAATAGTTCTGACCATTTTGTTGAGTTGTATTTAAATAAGCGCTTCCGATTATATCAGTGGACGAACAATATCTGGATGTTTGCATTGAATCCTGTTTTGAAGCCCACTAATGAGCAATGGAGAGATTACTTAAATTTACTCAGGAAAAAGTTTAAACAACATACACAGTTGACGTCCAATCCCATATACGTAATGAAATTGAGTCACACCATGTCAACTTTTCTTAATAGCCAGTATGTTCAAAATTTTGCTGAGAGACAATATAGGATTAGGACACAAAAGAAATGTGGACAGAAAAAATCGTCAATTAGGAACCGAGAAAACAAAGAGAGAGAAAGAATGTATGAATTGTTGAAATTGATTTATGTCGAGTGTAAAGTACCAATTACCGTGAGCATCGAAAATACCGATGTTCAATGTGTAATTCTAAATGCAATATGTATGGCATGCGAAATGGCACATGAATACTCGAACATTGATAGTACTGACATTTTTACAACAGTACTATCGTCCAATATTTTGCACAATGATATTTTGACGAAAGAAGAAAAAGAACAACTCATACTTGATCTGCTTTTTAACAATTGTGGAATGTTAACAAGTTTATTCCTTACATTTAGATTTGAACAATTATTCAATTTATTGCAATTGTTAGAAGGCCAAGACACTAATAATTCAACTAGAAAAGTGCACGCCAATGAATCTGTTTCACATTTATTAGAATATTTCATGGAGAACATCAAAATGATATTTAACTGTGTTAATCACAGTTATATTGTTCAAACGCTCTGTAATGTATTATCTCGAGTATGGAGACTTCATATCATTGATATTTCATTAACAGCACCCTTAAATAGATTGATCAAACATGCATGCGCCAAAATGTCAGTATTCGAGGATGAAACTTTAAAGAAATTCGTACTGACGACGTTTGAAACATTACTTCAACATTTATATTCTCTCTACAGACCTTATGAAATTTTTGAAGCGTTAAATATGCAAGGCAATTGTTTGAACAATCGTACACGTATGGGACATGTGATTTTGGAGAATTCTCTCCGAAACGTCAACATTTTTGAAATTGTGTTAACTACTCCTTTTCAACAATCGGGACACGACACGATGATGAAAACTTTATCTGTGAGACAAGTACTTGGTCAAGAACAAGATCTACCAATTTATGGACCCATGTTCACATTTTTAGTACCCACATGTTGTTGGAATGCTAATGTGTCACGGAAACAAGATGCTCACTCTGAATTTGTATCACCCACTATCTTTGACGCGGTACTCTCCATCTCATTTAATACTAAGGGAAGAGTGACGAATTATTGGAGTCGTCGTGCTCGCAGTTCGATTACTTCAAAAGAGCAAGACGATTCAATGCCACTTGAAAAATTAATGTCGAGAATGAATGTATTAAGGAAATATATTGGACATGATAAGTGTATCGAGATTTTGCAAAATCATCCATCTTTTGTAAATACATTGAAATTATACATTCAACAACAAGAAAAGTCTCATATTGTGAAAGTCATGTTAGCTCGACTAGTGGACTTGTTGAAAGAGTGGGGAATTGACATGGAAGAAGAAAAACAGACAAGAAAAAAGTGAAATACAGTTTCCATTCTAAGAGTGACACTCTTGTTCATACAAACTAATACAGGAAACTCTTGATGAACACGTTTCCCAATTTTATCGTCAGTTTGAATTGTAAAAAAAATGTTACAACAGCAGCAAGAAGGATATTCTGTGTCTCGTTCAGATCAGACACGAGTGATTTGTATTTGTGGATCCACATCTTCGGGAAAATCAACATTGGCCAAGACTCTTTCCATCCATTATGGAGTTGAAACGGTTGGACAAGATTCATGTAGAACGTACGTAATTATTGTGAAAATATCGGAAACACAAAATTTCCAATCAACAAGCATAGTAAAACCGTGGATGAGATTAAACAGTTGAAAGGCAATTTTGAAAGTATAGAATCGATTGATTTCAACAAATTTAAACATTCAATTAGTGAAATGCTATCCAAGAATAGAAATCATCCACTTCTCTTTGTCGAAGGATATTTATCGTGCTGTCAACAAGAACTAATTACACAATACTTTGATGCTATCATCTTCTTGGATACTACCGATGGAGAGGTAGCTAAAAAAAGACGATGGATTAGAACAATTAAGAAATATCCAAATCGAGAGCATGACTATGAGGCATTTTCACAAAAATTCGACACTCTCATTTGGAAATATTATTTAAAATACAGAAATTTTCAAATGGATAATATTATCAAGAGTGGAAAAACATATGCTGTGATTGGGGTCGATCATTTGGAAGCTCATGAAGTATTCGATCGAGCAGTGAAATTTATTGACCTAGTTCACAAGAATGAAGAGCACAGTATTCGAAACGATGAAAAATATTGTCAAGCTCCTGTGTGGTATGATTCCAATATAGACCATGCCGCTGCTTTGGAAGAAAACCTATCAGATTAATAATTTGTATGCTCTTTTCATATGGATGATCCAAAATTAAACGTTTGTAACTGTTGAAGATGACTATCTCTGCTTCTGAAAGGATAGTAATACCAGAAGACCATGATCATGCGGATGATGAAAGAATACCAACATTGATTCAAATTCGAATGGAATTATTGCAACTCAATGAACAAATGAAACAACAACCACCACTGGAGGAAGATTATCAACAAAAGATTGCGGAATTAACAAAATCTTTAACCACGATGAACCTCGTCACGGGGTTGGATTCTGTCTTCTGAATTACAACAAAAAAATTTATGCAATCCATCTTTGAGTTTCGGCATCAACAATGATCATCAAAATTCAATTCAAAGCAATTCACGAGAGAAAAAACTTTGACATGTGTTGGAGAGAAATAATCGAAACATTGTTCGACATGTGTATTTGGTCATTCTCCAACAAACAACAACAATTTTCTTTGAATCATTCGTGTCCAATATGAATCGGAAGAAATATGGTAAGTTTTATTTTGATCAAGTATGTTTAATATTGTCCAAATGGTCACAGGCATACCACAATTTCTTTTTGGTGATGTGAAACGGATAAAGGCAAGGATCTATTCCTAACAACGATTTTTACAATGGTGGAATCAGCGGAAGGGCTTGCCGCCACACCTTCCTCAAACAAATCTCATGCATTGTCCCTTACGAATGTTTTGATTGTTCAATAACGAAATTCAATACATTCCGCCATGTTGAAAATTTGAGATGACATCGAGATCGAAAAAGGATCAGTATTAGTATACTTGAGACTGAGGACATTGGGACCAATTACAGGCCTAAAAATTTAAATTTCTTGGTCCCGAGTTGTTCTCGAAATTGTTTTTCCGTAAATTGCGCAGCTCGATATGGGCTTTAGCTCCATGTTGGATGTTTTTGCTCCGTGGAAATGTTTTTTGTGGAGTCTCACTCCGTTTTTACAGATGCTTAATGACGCTCACTCCGGTTTTACAGATGCTTTTTTACTTCTAGAGTGCTTTAAGGAAAATTGAGCGTCATTAAGCATCTGTAAAAACGGAGTGAGACTCAACAAAAAACATTTTCACGATGAGGCTGCAGTTGGTACTTTTGATTGCACTACTCCTTTGTGCTCATTTCTCAATGAGAATCAAAGCCTTTCCAACTCCAACATTGATTGATACTGTTGTTGGAGGAAATTCGTATGGAGATGGAGTGAGAGCATTGGACTCTGTGATTGCATCCACTTCATTATTCATTTCTCCATACTCTGGTAATATATATTTGGCCGATAGAAACAAGATTAGAAAATATAATCCTCAGACTGGTTTAATTACTGCTGTGGCAGGAACTGGGTTTATTGGAAATTCATATGATGAAATCAAAGCAACTCAAACACCTTTCAATACAGTCTCATCCATAGCAAGAACAAAAAGTGGAGATATTGTTTTTATTGAAAGATTTGCTTATAAGATCAAAGTGTTGAAAAGAAATGGACGATTGAAGACCATCGCAGGTACTGGAACATCGGGATTTTCAGGTGATGGTGGATTGGCAATTAATGCAAAAATCAATCCTTCCAATGGTGACATTGCCATTTCTGAAGAGGGAGATATTTATTTTGGAGATGCAGGTAATCATAGAATCAGAAAAATCTTGACCAACGGTACCATTGTAACAGTGGCAGGGACAGGCTCTTCTGGATATGCAGGTGGTAAGTTTGTTTTGAATGAAATTTCACGTAATCATTTTAATTCTGACAGATGGAGGTTTGGCAATTAATGCCAAATTATTCAGCCCTAATGGTATTGCACTCTCTAATACGAGTGAGTTAATTATAATGGATACCAACAACCACAGAATTAGAAAAATTCTCACTAATGGTACTATTATCACAATTGCTGGAGATGGTACGGGAGGATTTACAGGAGATTCAGGACCCTCAACTTCTGCCAGAATATACAAACCTACATCAGGAAAATTCAATTCTAATGGCGATTTGATATTTGTAGGTAAGTTTGTTTTGAATTAATTTTCACATAATCTTCATTCTGTCTCCCTTAGATAGCTACAACGCCAGACTTAGAATTATTTATTCCAATGGTACAATATCGACAATTGCTGGAGTTGGCTCGCTCGGATATTCAGGAGGTATGTTTTGATTAACACGCTAATTTTCACATTTATTCAATTCTGTCAGACGGGGGAGATGCATTAGCGGCACAACTTAATTATCCCTCTAGTGTCGCATTGTTTAACGATGAAATTTATTTTTTGGATTCGAGTAATAAGGTTATTAGAAAGATTAATTCTAATGGAATTATTTCAACAGTGGTCGGAAGCAGAGCATCCTCATTTATGGGTGATGGTTATGATGCCAAATTGGCTAGTATAAGTTTCTTGGACGCATTTTCCGTTAACAATAAGACCATTCTTTTGAATGACTTTAGATCTATCAGATACGTTTCTTCAGACGGAAAAATATCAACCATTGCTGGTAATTTGAACAGTGGTGATTATTCTCCAGATGGCACTTTAGCAAACAATTCAAAACTCAATCCTACTTGTGTTTACAATGGTGGTAACGAATTTTTTGTCTGTGATCATGGTGCTTATATTAGAAGAATTAAGAACAATATACTAGATACCGTTGCTGGATTATCTGATATTTTTGCTGGCAATGAAGGTCCTGCTAACACTTCAATCCTAACAACTGCATATGGAGTCACTGTTAAACCATCCACAGATGAAATTTTTATTGCTCAAACTTTATCCTCCTCTTCCATAAGAAGAGTAGATTCGAGAGGAGTTATTTCAGTATACGCTGGCATTATGTATAACAGATCTGTATCCAATGACGGATTACATCGCCTCAATGCGCCATTCAAGGATCCATATAAGGTTGCATTTGCTTCTAATGGAGATATGTATGTCTGTGAACATGGTAGCTACAAAATCAGAAAAATTTCAGCGTCCACTGGATTAGTTTCAACATTTGCTGGTAAAGCATCAGGAACTGTTGTTGATGGTGATTTGGCTACGAATGCACTGCTAATGAGTCCCGTTTATATCACTGTGGCACCAAATGACGATGTTTATATTTCAGAAGGTTCTAACATTAAACGGATTGATGTAAGTTCGGGACGAATATATAGGTATGCAGGACTGTCAGGAAGCTATAGTCCTGGATATTCAGGAGATGGTGGTAGAGCTATTCTTGCAAAACTTAATGCACCAGTGGGAATCAAAATGACTTCAAGTGGAGTGTTATACATTGCAGATCAATGGAATCATCGAATTAGACAAGTTAATGCCAGTGGTTTTATCTCAACAATCGCAGGAACAGGAGAACGTAATTTTACAGGTATGTTTCAACTAACCTTTCAATTATTGGTGATCTTTGGATTTTTCAGGAGGTTTGTTTCTATGAAATGTTTTATAATCATTTTCATCTGTATTCTGGTAGATGGTGGACCGGCACTACAAGCAGCCATTGATCGTCCTATTGGACTCGCTGTTTCTCCAATTAATGGTGATGTTTATTTTGTGGACTCTGGAAATATCAGAATAAGAAAATTCACACCAGGCGGAAACATTTATACGGTTGCTGGTTGTGGAAGGAGTGGCTACAAAGGCGACGGCGATTTGGCTATCAATTCTTGTTTGACAAGCCCATATGATTTGGAATTTCTTCCAAATGGAGAGCTGTTGATTGTCGATGGATTTAATAGAATTAGAAAAGTTGATTTGAATGGAATTATTACATCCATTGTTGGTGGTGTGGGAAATGGAGCTATTGCCGTAAATAGTTCTGTTTCACCAACTTCTATCGATAGAGATGCTCAAGGGGCTTTTTATTTTACAGAAAACACAAAGAGTGACATTAGGAAACTTGACCAAAACTATTACATACATGCATTTGCAGGATCAACAATGTCCGGTTATGGTGGTGAGAATGAGCATCGTCTTGTTACTGATTTTATGGATGTTAGGGATGTAACTGTTGCATTGAATGGAGAGTTTTTGGTGACTGATGGAAATCGCATTAGGAAAATTGACTCGAGTGGCCTTGTAACAACCATTGCTGGTAATGGAGTCTCAAATTACTCAGGTGATGGTGGATTGGCAATTAATGCTCAACTCAGTACTCCTTATAGTGCAGTCATGGCACCTAATGGAGATATTTACATATCTGACACAATCAACAAAAGAATTAGAAAAATTGATAGGAACACTGGAATCATTACAACAGTCGCGGGCAACGGCAACAGTGGATATAGTGGCGACTTTGGGTATGCATCCCAAGCATTAATATCACAACCAACTTATATAAGAATGATGGATAGTGATGTGTACTTCATAGACAATACCAATAAGGTAATCAGAAGAATTGCAACTGAATGCCCTCGTTACTCCCAAGTCAATCCAACTAATGTCTCAGATTGCATTTGCTTACCTGGGTATTACGGAGAGTTGTGTGAAGATTTTGACTGTTTCGGAATTAATCAGGCCAATGGAACATCATGCTCTGGAAATGGTATATGTACTGCACCAGATACATGTCAGTGTGCAGAGACTTATTATGGTGATGAGTGTGAATCCTTTTATTGCTTTGGAGTGTTGAAAAATGAAACCAATGTTTGTTCAGGACATGGCCAATGCGTTGAATCTGACACGTGTACTTGTGAAAATGGGTATCAAGGTCCACAATGTGTACATGTCTGCTTTGGTATTGATGCAACACATTCACAGGTTTGTTCTGGAAATGGACAATGTGTTGGACCTGATTTGTGCAATTGTACTTCTTCTTATTTTGATGGAAACTATTGCCAAAATCCAATTTCTTGTTTCGGAATACCATTCAATGATTCGAGTGTTTGTTCTGGAAATGGACAATGTATTGAACCTGATTTGTGCAATTGCACTTCCCCTTATTTTGGGAACAACTGCCAATCCTTACCAAGCTCTCTTTCATGTTTTGGAATTAGTTCAACAGATCCCAATGTTTGTTCAGGAAATGGACAATGTATTGGTCTTGATCAATGTAATTGTACTTCTCCTTATTTTGGGAACAACTGCCAATCCTTACCAAGCTCTCTTTCATGTTTTGGAATACTACCCAACGATTCAAGCGTTTGCTCTGGAAATGGACAATGTGTTGGACCTAATCAATGTAATTGTACTTCTCCTTATTTTGTTGGAAATTACTGCCAAAATCCAATTTCATGTTTCGGCATACTATTCAATGATTCAAATGTTTGTTCAGGAAATGGACATTGTATTGAACCTGATTTGTGCAATTGCACTTCCCCTTATTTTGGATCTAATTGCCAAAATATACTTTCATGTTTTGGAGTTCCATTCAATGATTCAAATGTTTGTTCAGGAAATGGACAATGTGTCAGACCTGATCAATGCAATTGTACTTCCCCTTATTTTGGGAACAATTGCCAATCCTTACCAAGCTCTCTTTCATGTTTTGGAATTAGTTCAACAGATCCCAATGTTTGTTCAGGAAGAGGACAGTGTAATTCAACTGACCATTGTATCTGTACATCTATTTCAAATGCTGCTGTACATGGAAATGCGTGTCAAAATGTTCAATGTTTACCAAATTATTATGGCTCATCTTGTGAACAATATTGTGAATTCAGTACAAATTGTTCTTCTCATGGCAAATGTTCAAACGATGGAAGCAATTGCACATGCTTTTCAAATTCAACTTCTGGATTTTGGACTTCACCAAATTGCTCCATGTGTACGAGTGAATATTATGGAGAATTTTGTTTAACAAGATTTATTCCCAACGTTAGATTTAGTGATGATGCTACCCAACTCTCGTTCAAATTATATGCACCTTTTTATTATTCATCCATGAGTGTTACTTGTTCTCATTTAGTGGATTCATCTAGTATTAATTTGGGAAGTGATGCTGTTTGTACATGGAATGACAAGACCAATGGTGATTTTGTGATTGTTTTGGGAAGAGATCATTCAGTTCAAGTTGATTCTACAATCAAGATTAATGTTCGTGTTTTTGATATGGTTCCAAGTAGTGAGTATATTCAAACATTAGTACTTGCACCACTCGTCATGATCAAACCAATTGCAACCATTACAACAGCGCCAACAGAATACAGTTCATGTGACCAAGTTGTCATCCAAGGATCAAGCAATTCATTATTGGTGAAATATAACTGGACAATTCTCTCTTCACCAGGGGTGTTGACGCAACAAATGATTGGTATTACCAATACCTCAAGTCTAGAATTCAATTCAAATGCTCCATCTGGAAGTTATTCAGTTGAGCTAGTGGTGACAAATTTTTTCAATGTTGAAAGCGATGCAGTCACGTTTAACTTTACAAAGATAGCCTCTGCTATTCCAAAAGTTGAAATCTATTATTCCAACCAAATGTACGTGAACGTAGACCGTATGCCTGCGTACATATTGAAATATTTGACGTTCACAGGTTGTTCGCTCAATGACACGTTTGATTCATCTGCAGTTTCTATCGAGTGGAAACAAACCCAAGGCCCCCCAACCAATTTTACACAATTACCCAATAACGATTTGATGATCCATTCATTCTCTAACAACACTGCTCAAGATTACATATTTGAAGCAACTTTGACCTATTTCAACGCATCAAAATTCACAACTCGAGTTGATATTCATACGCTGGAAGAAGAATATGACATTGTTCTCTATGAATCATCCATTACATCCACTCAAGCAACGATCAAAGTGGAAACAAATCCATCTGAAAAAATTGACTCTATCAATAGGTATGAATGGGCTTGGAATTGTGTCAATTCAGATGATCAAACTCAGTGTGATCAATCCATGTTGAATTTCTTAAATACTCAAGCTTCACTGAAATCAACGAGTTTTGTTTTACCTCTTTCTGGATCAAAGACATCCATAGATTTGAGATTGACTATCAACAACAGAATTGGAAAACTTTCATTGAGATTCCCTGAAGATGAAACAGTTCCAGTGATTAGTGTGCTGTCACTGTCTCCTACTAAAAGCTATCTCACTACTTCTGAAGTTCTAAATATTCAATTATTGGTTAGTTTGAATGGACAAGTTGAAGGAATTAACTCGTTGCTGTCAAGAGAGTGGACCCTTAATGGCCAATCTATTGCTCCAACCATGTTATTGGATGGATCTGACATTATCAAATCCAACAAGATTTTATTGGATATTTCTAAATTAACTCAAGGATCATCTCATACATTAACATTTAGAGCAGCAACTTTACATGGAAAGTCAACAAGTTACACCTATTCATTCTCAGTAGCTATGAACCCAACACCTTGTTCATGTTCAATTACGCCATCAAGAGGATATGCTCTAGAAACTGAGTTTACAATTTCGTGTCCCAATTGCCTACAAAGTGAGAATATCTTACAAATCAGCTTTTTAGATCGCAAAACTGGATTGAAAATTCCTCTGGTTGAAATTAACAATCCACAATTTAAAACTTTGTTACCATACACTGGTGAATCTGAATCTGTTACTCTCTATTTTGTGAATAAGAATATTCAAAGCAATGCCAAAGCTGAAACATCCATCCGTACGAATCTCGTTCTACCTTTGACATATTCGTTGACTGAAGCCAAAAAGAAAAAGATATTTTGGGATGAATGGTACAAGACACTTGCTTCTGGAGATCCAAGAAAAACTGTGTTGGGATATATTACCACAACGGTTGACGCAATGATAAAGAAGATAACAAGAAGGTCACAAGTCTCTATTTCACCAGATTGTGTTCATGGTTTTTACGATTCAGTGATCGATATTTGTTTTTGTAACGAAGGGTACAAGAAGAGTGATTGCAGTATGACAATTTCTGAATGGTTGGAAAAGTCAAACACAAAATGGAATACTTCAAAACTAATTTTTGACGAAATGAAATTTAGAAATGAGCTTGAACCTCAAAATGAAATCAAACTTTCGTCACAAATATCTGAAATGTATCACTTATTGGAAACGTATGACGAAATCAATCAGGAAACACTTGACATGGCTGTGGAAATTTTCAAAAAACAACTCAAAGATGTTCTAAAATTGCAATCTTTAATTCTATCCAGCTCATTGACAAATGTCATGATTAGCACATTGGAATTAATGGTCAAAGCAAGACTTTCTCTTACCACAAATGTTACTTTAGATTTGTACAATGACATTTTATCCATGAGTGAAGATTTATCAAGCATTCAATTGAGAAATCAATTTTCATCGAAAATTCAAACTAACCTTTTCACTCTCGTTGCTAGAAAAGCGTATCCATCAGAGTTGTCAGACATGAGCATTTCATACAATGGTGACAATGATACTGTCCATTATCCTATTTGGATGACCAAGTATTTTGATCGCCTTGATTTGAGAAAACAGGTCTTTTGCAAAGTGATCAGAAAATCAGTTCCATCCACAATTACTGAATCCCATGCAATGAGTACTCAATCGGAAATTTACACAACATTGAAAAGTGCCACCTACACTCTTTCATCTCAAATTGTGAATCAAAATGTAACAATTCCATCAAGTGATAAGGTAGTGTCCTATTCATTCTATTTTGTTAGAAGCAATTCAGATTCAACAAATATAACAACTGAAGGAAATGTTGTCAAGAATGAAACCATCTCTTCAGAAATGATTTGTCAAAGTGTCGTTCCTTGTAACCTTCAAAGTTTGGGGAATAATTACTATAGGTGTCAATGTGCTCAATCCACTCAAGTTACACTTGTCGAGAAAACAACAAGATCAATCACCATCAAGCAACAACGTCCACCACCACCACAACCACCACAAGTTGAGAGTTCTAATCTTGCCTTTATTGGTTTCTTGGCATTCCTGATACCTGTTGCTGTTGTTGTGAGTGTTGTCGCAGGATTATCTTTTTATCGCATTTGCAGGAGAAGAAGGAAAAAGCCCACGTTGAGCGCCAACACCGACCACAGTGTTCCACAAATAGAGCTCAGGACGTTCAGCACTGTTTAAGCCTCAATATCCAACATTCACAATAAGGACTCTTTGAATAATGTTAACAGTTGTTCAATAAATTTTTGTATCTGCATTGATTTGGATTCTGGAAGGATTTACCATTTCTTTTACTTGATGGAATTATGTTACCAGTTGATCTCATTAAGGGATGTATGGGTAAGAACAAGTATCAAGAAATGGCATAAATCTGCTACGATATATTCGAATAATGAAAAATCTTTTTCTAAGGCATCCAATGCACATAAAATAATTTCCTTATTTGATCTTAATGCTTGAGAAACATTTCTAAAAACAAGTGCATTTTTCTTCACACAAATTCGAACAAAATTAAAATCATTTCTCAATTCTTCGGAAGCTCCATCGAATGAAGTGGGATCTTGTTCGATGGCAGTCATGACCATTTTTGTAAAACGGCGAGACGATATATCTCGTTACATAATTCATCGACCATGTCATGAACATTTTCTGGATGTTCTTCAGAAACGTATTGCAATTCCTCATTATTGTGAAAAATAAATTTCAAAAGTGCGACTTCATCACGACATGCAAAATTTGTCCATTCTTTTCCAGACTCCCGAAAATATTTTCCAATTTCACATCTCGATGAATCAAGTGATGATCATGAAATGATTTTAATCCACAAACTCCTTGAAAAATTAATTGTAAAAAAGACATTCATGATGACACTTCTTCTCTCAATTGTGCCAAATTCTTTCCTCGATAGGGAGTAATTCAAGTTCATCAAATTCATTCGGTTGTGTGTAGGGATGAAGGATCACAGGTTCTTTTAAAGTCAATACATGATGAATTGAAAAATTGTTGATACACGGAAAGTAATTGTGAATCCATTTCTCCAGAATTATTTTGCATTTCTTCATCGAGATCTTGATCGTACATGACATGGTAATCATCATCATGGTCGGTTTGCAGTTGAGCATGCTTGTTTGATGACTTTGATGACCACTGGTGATCCGAATTCATCCTCACATTAAGGTCAACGACTTTATTGGAACGGACAAGCAAGGGTTGAAGTTTTTTAAATGGTCTTCGGGGATGATTGGAAGCTGTGTGCGTGTGGTCATGGAGATGATTCCAGGAGGTTTGTTCCAGTTGACGCATCATGCTGAGTGGTGGAGGTTGTGACAACATTTTTTGAGTTCCGGAAAAACTCTCAATCTTTTAGTAAAGATCACCTAATGTTCCTACTTGAGAAGTCTTTAAAGAATCTTTCAATAATTGATCAAAAAATTCAAGAGACTCAAAGCTTTTTTCAATAATAAAGAGAATTATTGTAAAAAAAAATGATGAGGTGTTATGGACCTAATGTCCGAAAGACTCTGGCAAAGAACAATGAAAACAGTGCTGCTGAAAGGATAGTAATACCAGAAGACCATGATCATGCGGATGATGAAAGAATACCAACATTGATTCAAATTCGAATGGAATTATTGCAACTCGATGAACAAATGAAACAACAACCACCACCACTGGAGGAAGATTTGCATTCTATTCAACAACGAATGGAATATTATCAACAAAAGATTGCGGAATTGAAAAAATCTTTCAAGAGTGATACTGATGATATGATTTTGGTGGAAAAGATTTCAACCATGAACGATATAGACGAACTACGAAGAATGCTTTCCGGGTGGGCAAAAAAATAAAACATCAAGCACAAATTGAAGACACTTGTCAACCAAAGATTTCAAGCTATTCACTGTTTCATTATGTAAGAAAAAAAAGAGGAAAACAGCAATAAAAGAAAAGGGGCA